AAAAGTTAAGGGGGGGTGCAAGTTACTTTTCAGCCACCCTGTATATATATATTCTAAGATATAAATAATTTCCTAAAAAAACACACTTTATTACCCTCCCTGTAGCAGCAAACCTAGTTACTTGTTAAACCTAATGTTACTGAAATAGATTTAATTGAAAATGAAATGAGGCAAATGGAAATTCGTTTAGTTTGCAGGTTTGCTGCAGCGGGGTTATTTGTTTTTGGTACATTTACACAGCTTACATAATTACTAATTCCCTGATTAGGATCAATGGTCGAACGTCTCTAAAAAAATTGTTAAAAACAAAAAAGTCAAACGAAAACAAAATGTGGGCAATGAAAATTTATCTACCAAAATCAACGAAAAATGATGTAATAATAATTATAACACTTATAATGTTATAAATATAAAATTATTGGAATTAATTTGGAAATCACACTCGAGCTACATCAGAAATTAATTGATACTGGAACAAATAGCTGCAGTTCAAACCGCGACCACAAACATAACGTGAACCACATATGTATCTAACATTTGCCTCAATCGCCTATTTGCGTAATAGCTCTTGGAACCAATATTAAATGAGGTTAAGTCTAATAAAACTCTATTGTAGATTAAATAATACAGAATTTTATTTCGATAACGTAGTGCTGCACATAAGTGTTTTAACAGCCTTAAATAGTATGAATAACACAAAGTACAGTGTCTTTACACCATTTTGGAATAGATAAATTAAGGTTAAGCGAGTAAGGCTTTCTATGAAAACCCTTCATAAACTGCCAACAAATATTCATTAGGAACAATAACATAGAGGAACGATATGTGGGTTTTGGAGAGTTCCCAAAAGGGTGGAATGAAATATCATGTTGTTTGGAAACAGTTTACAATTGATGCGACAAAAAATATGAATGCACATTTTCATTTGATCAGATTTGCAATTCTAACTACACGAAATTTTTATTTTATTTTAGGCATGTTGACTTTATCTACGCCAATTTTTCCCAAAGTACAATAATATACATTTGGTTTACCAAAAGATATTAAATAATTGTTGCGAAGAAGTTTTGGTACTCACTTAACAATCAAAAGGTTTTCGGTTCAATCCTGAACATTGTCAGAACGTTTTGACCCATGTATCATAGGGCTAAATGAAGAGTCTCTAAAAAGACTTGAGTTGGGTAAAAACAAGGCTACGTAAGAATTTTCACTCCATTCTACATTCATTTTAAATATTTTTGTTAAAAATAGGCATAATTGCGTTCCCATTTCAATTAAAAATAAAGACACGGCCATCTACATATCGTTAAGTAAAATCTATTACTACGATACATTACTAAAGTTTAGTACAACAGCCTATAATAATAGAAAACTTAGACGGTAAGTGACGTTAAAAAGAGCAGTAGCATTTTCATTATTGCAATGCTAATCTAAGCTAATATACCGATAATGCTGGTGGCCTGGCAAACGAACAGTCGGTCTAAAACCTGAATTCTTTCAAATTATTAAGCTTGTTGTTATTGTTTGTTGTTGTTGCTTGTTATTAGGCTTGTGTGAAGATGATCTACTCATAAAAAAATATGATATTCTAAATGGGTATTTCATAGATTCTATAAAATAAGAGAGAATGCAAAATACATAATATTCAGTGCTATAATCTAACTGTGAGATGATTTTGAAAAATTATATAGGTAAAAACGCATCTCTAAATTCATCCTTTGGATTATTTTTCAAAATTTAATCGAAATTAAATTGAAGTTTTGGAAAAGCCTGAATATTGATTGTAAATTTTAATGGAATAGCCTTACAAATCAAATTAAGTGAAATGTGCATTGGAGAACATCGCTAAGTTAGCAACGACCACTAGTGTGGTACTGTAGCAAACATTCGCTAGCAAGAGCAAGTATTACAAATTAATATTGACAGGTACAGTAACTCACTCCTAATTCTTCTTAATTATTGGACACCCATCTTCCTTGTACGCCATTGAAACATTTTTGTTACACTGCATAATGATGGTTTATTTATTTTATTTATAATATTCATTGGCCAATGTTACCAATTGTAATATGGACTTTGTATTGACAAAAACAATAAGTTGTTTTTCTGTTAACTTCAATAACATGGGCCTTAAAGTTAAAATTAGTAAACCTTACGACTTTTTATAAATAAATGACTTGTTTTTCACTACCTGTATCTTTTCCATCCCAAGGGTTTCTTTCTTATTTAACTCACACAATCCTACCCAAGTACATAACCTGTAGTCCGCAAATGATATTGTAGTCTGGACGTGGGAAGGGTTCCAAATAAACACATCTCTTGAAATGGTTCGCTGAATATTTACCCATTAGGATTACATAGTTTTATATTTATGTGTCTTCAGTTACTTAATAGACTATGGAAAGCACTATACATTTCATTATTTTGTTAAAGTTGTAGCCAGTTCGCTATTAGAAATGACCGTAGTTTGAATGAGCCTCAGAGTGAGCTGTTTTTTATTTATAGTTATCGATATTGAGTTATTGATTTCTCTTGTACCTATACACCAACTCTTAGACCAAGACAAACTTAAAGGACTATGGATCTTTTATAGACTAAACAAGAACAACTATCAGAGTACAGTGTAATAAAATTAAAGGAGAAAATCTTAACTAACTCTTTGACAGACCTTTTAACCATGCATGTGTAGTATCCACCCTAGTATCTGAGATAAAAAAAAAAAACAACACACAACAAAGAAAAACAAAAATTAAACATTTTTATGTTTCAACTATAAATATTTCACATGTATGGACCCGCTGAACCCAATTTTGTACCCTAATAGAACATTGTTTAAGATTTTGCCACAGAGTGAGTTTATATTTCTCTCTTAGTTTGTGATACTGTACTCTGAGAAACTTGGGTTTAAGGTCACTCAGCTCCCCATAGAATGCCATTTAGTCGCCATCATGCCGTGGTGGACGAAATATCATTGCATGTTGGTATGTTGGTGTTTTTTTTTTAAAGTGGCGAGTCAAATGTGAAACTCAATTACGTTTTAGACATTACTTTCGTATTGGTCGTCATGGTGAACTTCCGAGTCAAAATACAATTTTTTAAGGTGGGCTTCTTATTTAGAACTAAAGGGTCAGTTATTAAACCAAAAACACCTGGAACACAGTTTAGTGTGCTGTAGGGAAATGAGGGATTTATGGGCCATCATCCTTTGAAGAAAAGGAACTCCTGTCACTGTTAATTATTCTGCAAGATACATGAACATGATAACGGACTTTTTCATTCCTTAACTTAAAGGGTAGAAAGTCTGCATCAAGAACATATAGTTTCAACAAGATGGGACAACTGCGTACACGGCCAATGCCTATTGCTGCATTTTGAATGTTATTTCCTGGGCGTGTGATCTCATGGTTTGGTGATGTTGGGAGGTCTTCACCGGACTTGTCAATGGATGGCTTATCCCTGTGGAGTCATATGAAGACAGGTGTTGAAAAACCACGTACTCTGGGAGAATTAAAGGCCGCAATTAGGAGCCAAATTTAACTAATCAATTAATAGTTACTGAACAAAGAGTAACGTTTTCGAGCAATGCTTGAAAATGTGTGTCCGTTTCAGTGGCCGCAATTTGAGTGAAGTTATTTTCAAAACTTAAAATGAGGTATTTTATTTTGTAAACGCCATATTTTTTCCTTCATTTCTATGTCAATAAAACTTAATAATTTTTAAAACTTTAAGAGCAATAGCAACTTTCATTCGATCCGATTCCGTTTTCCGTTTTTCGTTGCAGTATGATTTGCAATGCAAAGTCTTTTAAGTTTGGCTTGGTCAAAAAGTTGATAATAATTCACTTTTGCTGATGATTATACCTACTAAACTTTTTGTTCAAACCCATAACTTATATTTTATACTCATATTGATATACCTTTTGCATTACCAAAGTTAACCGAACTATATAACTTATGTTTATAACATATGTAGGCACATTGACCACCTAATAAAGATATCAAATTTTGTGCTCTCCATAAGTCAAGGCATAAAAGGACCCAAGCGAAATTTTACCTCTCAATTTGAAAAGATTAATACAGGGTCCCAGAAAAACTATCTATGGGTTCACTTTTTGAGTTTGGTCAGAAATATGGACATAGAGAGAAAAACAATCAAACTAATGTTTTTAAAATATTTAGACTCGCTACAGGTTTTTAGTAAATTGTATAACTTAACAAAATCCTAAGTACCATTTTATGTTAAAACTCCAGTAAGCTTCAAAAGTTTGTCCTCTGAAATCATCACTATGAAGAAAATATATAGCTTCCTGATTTTCAGCGATAAATCCCCCAACATGGTAATAAATTATAGGAAAATATGTAGGTACACTATTGGTACAGGTAAAACTCACCTAAGAAAACATAAAAATTGGTCCGTTCATGAAACTTGCAGGAAACGTAGTACTTCCCATTAGGTTTTGAAATCTGAAGAGTCCCTAGTGATTGTGGGGGTGGAAGTACCATTTTGTGGGGGTTAAAGTTTATGGGGGTGGTGATTTTGAGAACATTTTTATTCATGGGATCCAAGGGAGTGGGGTGTCGTAACACAGGAGCATTGACCTTAACACAAACAAGATACTAATTTCAGTATTGTCTCTGGAGCTGGCTCAGTAGTTGTTCTGATTGGTAGCAAGTAGTTATTGTGTCTAGCTCAACCCCACTCTTATGGAAGCAGCTTATTCCCTAGCCAGAGCTGTATCTGATATTGAGTGTGGTAGGAGTTTTGAGCAGCACTGTCCGATGTTGGTGGTAGGGAGCCCAATCTGGCTACACTTTTCTGCAATGATTTCTGAAAAGGATTAATTAGATTTAGTGTAAGCGTACCGCCCTTGGATCCGTACAAGAAAAGTAATATACATTCCCCTGCTTGTTTCACCGCAATGTGATTGGCGTCAGGTTTGTCAGGACTCTTCAGATTCCAAAACCTAATGGTAAGTACTATGTTTCCTGCAAGTTTCATGAACGGACTAATTTTTATGTTTTCTACTAGTCTTTTAGAAGAATTTTACCTGTACTATATTTTATATTTTTAATGCTGGTAAAAATAGATTTATTTAAAGTAATTTACAACCAATATGCATATTAGCTCCAGGCGTAGGTGTGTTTATTGAGTTCAAGTTAAACTCTTCTTTCCATTTAAAGCACAAACCACTTCTATAGCATCCATCATATACAAATTAGCTTCAGATAATTTCCAGCACAATGATTTCTGTGGCACAGGCTCGCTTGTTGAAAGCTCTTAAACCGTACTCAATATAGGTACACCAATCCAGACTATTACGCCTCACTGCATTCTAGTTAAAACTATTACATATTAAAAGTTCATTTCTCATGGGTTTTAAAATACTTTTATGTTTGAGTGTTTCAATATTTTCAATAATTATTGAATGATTTAGTGGTAGAGAACTCATTCAAAAGGAAAACAACAACCTCTTATAAAATCGAAGGCTCATCCTCAGTTGAACTAATGACCAATCTTAATAATATTATAGTTCTATGAAAATATGTCTAAAAAACTATGTAAGATCTAATACCTGAAGAAAGCCCATCTCCCTTTACTCCATAAAAAGGTGCCCAATTTTTAAATTTTACTAAATTACTAAAAAAGTTTTTTAGGAATAAGCAATATCAACTGTGAAAGTAAACAAAACACTTCTAAGGCCATTCAATTAACATTCACTCTCAAACAGTTATTTGCTTGTAGACATATTTTATATGTCTGATTTAAAATGTATTTAACTGTGCTTTTCATACAGTACTGTATCTATGATTTTCATCAAACTATTTGCATATCATATTCTATATACACTTTGGTAAAGAAAATGTCCATATTAAATAGAATAATTAATCAACTATAACGCAGTTTCTCAAGTGCTATAAAAACATAATTCTTTATAATGGAAGATCTAAACAAATTTGTGAGATCAAAAATATAAAATAGTAAATTTTTATCATAGTGGATGAAATATTTAGGTCTCAATACTTCATGCGGCCCAATGAATACGATATGCTTCATTTATTAAGAATGCTTTACCACGAATGCTTGATACACTTTACTATATACAAACTGAATGATTGGAGGTAAAAGTAACTCAAGCATGGAACAGGTTTTAATAATCAACATATCTCCACTGGAGCAAAATACTATGTCTGATTTTTTATTTATTGTGATGATATTCGTTTTGAAACCTGATATGGAAGCTCAAACGACTGATACGAGTAAAATGTTTAAAAACCGACGATTTTTTAAATTTTTTTGGAAAGCATTCAGTTAAAAGGCTTTATATTTTGAGAGCAATCATAAAACTAATTTTTTTTATCAGTGTGTTTAACTAAATATTTTACAGGGCAAAAATCACAGTGAATGTGTTCAGTTTAGAATGGAATATTTGTAGTATAAAAATAAACCTATAAATACAACATACATAACTATACATGAATCCTCACGATGATAATATTAACAATCAGTACAATAAGTAATAGACATTTCCCTTGGAAAAACCTTACTGCAATTTCATAAAACTACATAATTTTATATCTATTGATAAAGTTAAGTTATAAGAAAAAGTACTTTCTGGTGATTATGTTGCTTTTTAAATAACTCTTATTCGATTGGTAGTTTAATAAATATGTTATGTTTGTTTCAGATATGGGTGGCTGTTGCTATTTCAGCCCTGACATTTGATGTGGCTCTAGGTAATTCAAATATTCTATATAATCTAGAAATAGAAAAGCATATGTAGATGATACACCGCGTTGAAATAAAAGCTCTTATCTTCACAGTCTACATTTTATATCCACCTTTTTCATGAAATGCAACTTATACATAAATAATTTAGTCACTTGTTTATGCTTTCAATGTTTCAATATACTATTATACTGTTGAGTTTGGGGGTGAATGAAATGTAGCATATTTTTAGTCAAAAGCTTACATTTTAATGACACAACCATACTTGTGCCAAGGAAATATATTTTTTTTGCCTTAGTAACAAAATGATCAAACAAGGCAAACGAGAATACTTTCCATTGTCATTTTGGCATGAAGTACTAAGTTTCATACAATTATAAATGTTTTCTTCCAATTAAGTCTGGTGTGATTTGTCGCATTAAGATAACAAAATACCGATGTGTTGGCACTGGCATGTTAGGCCTATGTATTACTCCAGTTATCTGAATATTTTTGGTAGCCTGTGTACAATAAGAGCTCGTATCCCCAGTATTTCAAAATTATTTTGGATGTTCCAGACATTTATTCGACTTAAAACTATTTTCATTGTAACAATATGTTTGGGAGCTGAAATCATTTAGGCCTAATCTGTTCCGAAAAGATGGTTTTTTTTTCAATTGAATATTATAAATCGTTTTTGTTCCCAGGTCATGGTGTTTTCACACATAAAGGAACAAGCACAATTTTATAATACCAGTTTACAATATCATATAAGTTCTCTAAACGGAACTTCATATTTTTTTTATAAGTTCTTCCTAAAATTAACCCTTGTTTTTCTTGTAGTCTTAAATTTCTTTATTTTCATGAATGTATTTTTTATGAAATATTTTAGACAAAAATTGTGAAAAATTGTTACCTTTTGCCGTTGTTAACACTTGTATCTTTCTGTTTCAAACTTTATCTTTCCTCATTGTTAAATACCACTTCTTCAATGTTGAACGTACTTCTCATCACGTCATATATAATAAACTATGATATGTTTTTTCAAGGGAGAGGAGGGACATTGCTTTTACGCACACAGGTAGCCAGCCTGTAGTGCGAGGCTCCTGAATTTATCACAGACTACTCACTAAAAAAACCCCCTCTACTCTGTTGGACACAGACCTGGAATTGTTTGTCAAAAAAATTGTGCAAAAGAAAAGGAGAATTGAATCATTGGATGAATACCATTGATCGTGTAATACACTTAGGGTGTATTACTGAGCAATGAGACAATTGCGACTGTTCAAATACGTAAAATCTTTTACAGCAAAAATTCTAAAGTAATTTTGAACTAAGAGTCTTGAAGAAAAGCCATGACAGTTGTTAGTTTTCGATTGTCGGGCCGGCGCGGGCGCGTAATTAGGCGCGTCCAGCCTAGTCCACACATGGAGACTGAGTCGGCCGACTGTCTGCCGACTGTGCGCGGTCAACACAGTTTCAGATACAAGTTTCCGATGTGTTTTGCGTCCACACTAGCCAGCCAGTGTTTCCATGTTTGTTGGTATGGTGACCGAGGAGGACGTAATTATATCCTATGCGGGCTTCATTTTTCTGAGCCATGGGCCTATTAATCTAGGAAGAGACTATGATGGACTCTACATTTTCTCGAGCAAGGTTCGTACGATGGTCGCAATCTTCTATCAGACCTTCAGATTAGGTGGAGGATTTAGTAACTTCACGAGGTCGACTTCTAAAGATTTTGAAATTTTGCTGGGCTTTGTTGGTCTTAAGATTTTAAACTTGAAGAGATGAACAATTCAATAAAATGTCATTTAATGATATAAATCATTGAAAACTAATTCCAAAACTTTCAAGAAACTCAATCCAGCTCTTTTATTACCGCCCAAAAATCGTAATATTACCGCTTTGTAGTCTAACTAAATGGGCTGAATGTTGAACACCTTCGGCTTGTATCCAGTCTGCTGTCTCCAGACACGTCCACACATGCAGACTTGAGACAAAAGTTTTGTCTCTTGTCTCCGTGTTTCCCATTCGAACGGGAAACAGAAAACACTGTATTTTGTCTCCAGAAACACCGAAATTTGTCTGCCTACAGTCGGCCGACATACTGGAGACAATATAGCAACATACTGGAGACAGTCGGCAGACCATGTTTCCGCAGACAAATCGCCATGTGTGGACGAGGCTTTATTCCACGACCACGATCCCGGTTGTTGCAACATTCTGCGCAATGAATGAACAACCAACGCAACAATGCTGGTAATATCGAACAAACGATGTCAAAATGTTTATGTGCAGTTATCATAATTATTTTTTCATCTTTAGTTTATACTACATTTCAATCATTTATAAGAGTAGATTTATCTTTGGAATCCATTGGTTTACAATACAAAGTCAACAGCGGAGGCGAAAACTTTGACAATCAGGAAACCTAACCCTTGAACCTATATCCATCAGAATACTATAAGGATTTATGGTAAAAGGTAACCTAAGCTATTTATTTTGCATACATTTTTATCCAGGACAGGATATATCTATAAATGATCTCTTTTAACATATGATGTTTATCCACAGGCAGGTACGAAGTGTCCTATGACGGGAACCCCTGCAGTCCCAACCCTTGTGGACAGAACACCCAGTGCTATGTGTCCAGTGGCCGTCCTGTGTGTTCCTGCCTGCCCGGCCACTGGGGAAACCCCCTGTCTTACTGTCAGAGAGGGGAATGCCAAGGTACATGTAACACAATAAATTTGTAATAGCAAGTGTTACAAGTATTCACATTTTTCCAGTTTTAACACTTAAAGTCAGCCTATTAACATAAGATAAACACACACTCGTTTGTATCATGTTACCTTAGAACATTATCATGCTTTTTACTAAGTTAACAAATTAATTAAATTCTCTAGTTATTCATTACACTACCACTTAAAAGAGGTGTATTCATAAGGGCGTGACAAATGGTATTTACAATTTTCTAAAAGTTAGTTTCTAAGCACATTTTAAATCTAGTAAATTACTAGTTTACGATTGATTATGCAATCATATGGTTAAAATATAAAAATATATATTATATTGCTAAATATTAAAATTAAAATGTATCATTTCGTTTAAACTTCAACTTAACCTCAATGATAAATTCAAAGTATATTTTTGAATTGAACTAAAGAGATCATTTGTATCAATTCTCTTTTCTTCTTAGAAACAAACTAAAACCACATGTTTAATCTATGCTAAAACCTAATCGGATGTCAAATAATGTTCTAAAAAACTACACACTATAATTGTAGGCATATTATGCTAATTGTTCACGACGATTTCTGAAACCATTTTAAAAGATTTACGAGTAATAGGACTATCCAAAATAAATGTCTAAGTCTGTTAGAGTGACTTTAATGACTCATGAGAAAGAAAGTTTTAACATTATTTAATTCAGCAGGAAATGAGGACTTGAGCCCTGCTTATTATTCTTTTAGTAGAACAGATTGATTACTTATACATACTTTTGTATGGTATAATTTTACAAGGAAAAATGATATAGATTATGGAAGCATTTTTGTCTGCTCTTGGCCAGGATTCTGAAGCCAAACATGGTTGTAATGTAATTCATTGAAAATGTTTTCTTTTATATAAAGGAACTTTCTAAGTAATAATAACAAAGTTCATAATCTAAAATAAATATTATGATTTGGTAAGGGAGACCACATTTGTATTCTAATGGACTCAATGGCGAAACATTGTGGGTATAATATATATATATATATATATATATATTATATATACATATATTCATTTGAGAAAGCGTTTTTTTTTTTCTCTGGGGTCATGAAAATGAAACATCAAATTGGTCCCAGGTCAAGGTCTTACCATGCCACCCCCAGTAAAAACTTCTACACTATGGATGAAATTAATTAAAACGCTACAAAATCTGTTTCATATTTCAAATATTGAACTCTAAATACAAGAGGGTAGCCTCTTGAATCCTGCTTACAGTAAGCTTTCATATAATATACAATCAATATCAATATTTACCGATATGTTGATGATTTATAGATAACAGTGACTGCCCGGCCAGCAAGGCCTGCAAGGACTATCGTTGCGTAGATGTATGTGCAGGAGTGTGTGGTGTCAACTCCGACTGTCATGTACGGAACCACGTCCCGGTGTGTAGCTGCCCCACGGGCTATAAAGGCGACCCCTTTAGCAACTGTCGACTCATGGATCCTCGTAAGTATTCACAATCCATCTAAACAACGCATGTGCATGTGAGTAATTCTAGTGGCGTCACCACAGTTGTATCCTGTGTGGTTATTTTAAATAAAAATTCGTATGCTAGAGAGTATAAAACGTACGTAACAAATAGCGATGATTAAATAGAAAGCCTGATTAAATGTATAGTTATGAAACAAAATTTGTTATCAAATGTCGCTAATTGTTTAATCAGAAAAGTTATGTCTATGTTTATTGTTTTGGCTTCAAAAATAATAATGACTAGGCATCTCCTTTTGGATACCTCGACTGAACATAGCATACAGGACATACACTCTCAACATGTACCGTACATCAGGTTTTTTTTAACGAATTTTAGCAGTCCTGAAACAATTCTATACCTAAACCATCTAACTTACCTCAAAATCACTTTGTGACATTTCCAGACCATAGCAGCCAATTGACAGAATTAATTACAACTCTAAAGACTCTAATGTAGAAGGCATTTTTCTGGACATAGTGGGATATCCAGCTCAGAAAAAGATATCTATTTCCACTGGTCACCAAGTTATTGCATCAGCTACCTTCAAAAATCGTTATGCAAATCATAATAACAAACTATTCATTGACACCGACAAAAACTGCTCATACACACCGACAAGGGGTAACTGCATTGACACTCCATAATAAATAGGCCTATAAGACCTTTATAATATGAGTTCCGTCCTATATATGTAAGGGCATGTATTGTTTAAAATTATGTCCTGTTATTGCTACTGTATTAAAAAACTGAGCTACTAGGACTCAGGATTTAATTTTTTTTTTATTTCAGAAATTTCGTACCACGTAAAACCTTATAGTTTAAGAAAATATCTGGCTGCGTTGCGTTACAGGGGGGGGGTTAAATTTGCGTTGTGCAGCATCGCAAGAGGAGGGAGGGGGTTAAAAATGACAAAACATGCTACGTAAGGCCCCGGCCACACGAGGCGGTTTAACCGCGCGAAGTTAAGCCGCGCGAAGTTAAGGGGTTCAACAACACATTGAATCAAATGAGAGCGGCCACACAAGGCGAAGTTTAGCCGCATGTACGGTTGAGCCGCGCCATGTCGTCCCTCGACCGCGCGAAGTTAAGCCGCGTTGGAAGGGATGACACATGCAGTCTTCTAATACAGAAACTTACATAAGTGTTTCGTCCATGACTAAAAAGAGTGAACTGAACTATGTTTTAATAGAGTACTCTGTGTACCTACTGGCGAAGTTAAGCCGCGCGAAGTGCCTGGCCACACGGGGCGGATGAACCGCTTCCTGTTGGGTTTTCCCAGTATCAGTACTCTATTAAAACATAGTTTAGTTCACTCTTTTTAGTCATGGGCGAAACACTTATGTTAGTTTGTGCATTAAAAGCGTGTGGTGATCTGGAACGTTAACATAAATCATTGGGTCCATCCCTTCATAACGGAAAAACAATTTTTTGTGTTCCAAACCTTTTACGAGCACATGCGAAACCATAGTTCGGAGTTCATATGTATCAAACATTGTTTGAACACCACATACACAACCGGTAAAAAACACACAAAACAAACTCAAAAACCACTGGAAATGTCCGAAGAATATCTCCAATAAGCGCGGCTGCCGCGCGGTCGAACCCTATTGTGTGGCCACTCTCATAAGACTGCATGTGTCATCCCCTCCAACGCGGCTTAAGTTCGCGCGGTCGAGGGACGACATGGCGCCGCTCAACCGTACATGCGGCTAAACTTCGCCTCGTGTGGTCACTCTCATTTGATTCAATGTGTTGTCGAGCCCCTTAACTTCGCGCGGCTTAACTTCGCGCGGTAAAACCGCCTCGTGTGGCCGGGGCCTAAGGCTGCGTTCATGCACGAGGAGCGGAAGCGGGCTGTAAAACTTTTGCTGTAAAAATGTGGACGGTCCCATAGTCTCCAATCCCAACCTTTCTTATAAACAATCCCATGAAGTCCTATAGTCCTTCGAATCCTGATAATCAGTTTTTTTAACACTTGTACAAATTACGAATAAGAATAAAATGTCAACATCTACAACGTTGCCTGCAAACCGACAACCAAGAACACAGCAAAATCCCAAAAAAGCCAACGCATGAGGAGTGAGAGGAGGAGGAGAGGAGAGGAGAGTTCCGATCCGATTCCGATTTCGAGACTTTAGGGTAATTACCCTTTTTTACCCCAATTTAGTAGTCTTAGGGTAACGGTAGATTTAGGGTAATTTTAGGGTAAAACTAAAAGTTAGCTTAACAATAGAAATTGAACTAGAAACATGAAAAAACTTCAAAATTTGAGAAAAAACACACATTACATATCATGGCAAACCCGTGATATGCGACTCAACCGGTTTAAATCGATTGCTATGATTTTCATAATCATTGATCTTATCGTTATCAATACTGTATTTGTGAATTATATGTTTCAGATTGTATTGCGTTCGATTCCATAACACGTTATAATAAAATATGAAATATTATTCATTACTTCTTGGTATTTAATTATGTGATTGAGTTGAATCACACTAGGATTATTTTACCGATTGTGTCTAAAAATTACTGTATGTATATATACTGTATGTAGAAAAATAGACTAACACTTTAATAATTCCGTCATGATACAGTACCGTACTGTATCATGAAGTGATTATTGTAAAAAAAAGTAGTAATGGGTTGATACAATTAAAAATAGGCTTCAATAATTCTTGGTTCGATATTTTTTGTATACATTGAGCTGAATATGAACATTTTGTACTTTTTCGTGTTGTTAACAAATTTCCCTATAGGGAAGTAGCTATTACCGTAGGTGGCACGGTAAGACCTAGACCCTGGACCGATTTACTTTTTCATTTTGATGTCCCCAGAGGCCAAAAACACCATTCGTTCAAATTTTTATATATGTATGTATATACGTCCGTGAACGCGATAACTTGAATAATTTTTGTCCGACTTTGATGAAATTTGGTTTAAAGGTGTAAAGCAGGATAAACTTGAATGAGTTCGCGAACCAGCACGACGGACCATGGGAACCATGGGGACCATGGGCTTTACGGGGGGTTTTATGGGGTAAAAATAGGTTTTTCTTACTTTTGACCCTCAAAACACAAAATTTCCCGATTTCTCTTTAGACCTTATTAAAGAGCTTAAAAAAACAAATAATTTAGTATATAAAAGAATTTTTGTTCGATTATTAGCAACGGAGAAAATTAAAAAAAATTGTAAATTCAAAATTCCCATGTTATTCTTATGGAGAATATTGTCAAATGTTGTAGTTTGCTTGTTTATGGATATATTTTGATCAAACTTGGCAAATTTATTTATTTTGTACTAAGCTATCAATATTTTACTTAAAAACACACTTTATTAGTTTCCTTGTAGCAGCAAACCTAGGAACTCGTTAAACCTAATGTTATTAAAATATATTTAACCGAAAATCAATTCAGACAAATGGAAATTCGCTTAGTCGGCAGGTTTGCTGCGTTGGGGGTATTTTTGAGAATCGAGGATGTTTTTACGTATATTGATTGATATTGAAACCTTATTAAGTATAATTAACAACCTTATTGAAGATTTATATTATTTTAACAATGTTATATAGCATTTAACACAAAGATTTCCATTAAGGGTCATTTTTAGGGTAGCTCAAAGTAGATTTAGGGTAATTTTAGCTCGCCTTTAGGGTAAAAAATTGCCACAACGAGGTGGCAACTCTACTTGAGGATTGAGAGTTAAGCCAATCATCCGTCTCAAGTAAGAGACACGATTCACGGCTTTTTAAATATTGTATTGTATTATAAAAACTTGAACCCAGATAGTGCAATTAGGTTAAAGCAAATCGGGGAGGTCATGTACCAGCTACTACAAAGTCACTGCGAGAGTCTGCAAGTAAAAACGCGTTTCAGGATACTAACACTGGTTTAAATTGAAAAAAAAAACGTGATTTGTTTTAATTTGTTTGGGAAAGGTTCAGTTTTTTTTAATTTACTAATTAATAATATAGATAAATAAATTAAACGACGGTGGATTAAAACTGGAAATTCAACTCGGGAGCACAGAAAACGTACTAATAGTAGTACGTTTTCTGTGTCGGGAGACACCTAGCGGCAGTTAGACGAACTGTTGCGAACGTCAAAGCGAAAGCGCACCTACCACCAGCGCACCTAGTGGCGATAGGCCACGGCCTTCGAAGTGGCAACGTCGCAAGTGGTGTTGTAACAGCTGTTTTGTTTGGAAGCAGCTAATATTTGTGTGTTTACGAAAGATTGGTTACTGGACTATGACAATATTGACTCCGCTTAAAATGTACAGATCTAGATTTGTAATTCATATTGTTTCGGTTTTCAATTCTGTATGTTTTATTTTCAATATTTTAATACATTTATGTTCATAAAGTTAAATTTAAATCAATAGAGTGCGAATTAATAAGCTGATGTCACCTGTCTGCCATGTTATCTTATGGGACGTATGTCACTTAACAACACCACTTTCGACGTTGCCAATTCTACCAGGCCGCGGCATGTAGTTAAATTAAAGGTGGCCGTGGGCGAAGGCGCATGGCGATTGGCTGACTGACGTGGCGGAAGCGACTCAAGATGCATGGAGTAAAAGTCTTTTACTCCATACATCTTGGAAGCGACTGGCGACTGGTGAGGCGACTGACTAGATGAACTGAACTGAACTGTTCAACGTTCAACTGTTCGCGAGGCGAGAGTGAGTTTAAGGGTTAAGAGAAGCAGATGACCAAGTGAAATTATTAAATGAGTTTATCTATTCAATTACTTTTTTTACATCTACATCAGTTGATTAGTTCATGAGTCCGCATCGCATCCGAGTTATTGCATGTCTAGGCCTCGACCACAACTGCTAAGCATTTTTAAATTTATAAATTTTTTAGGCCCTTTTATGGCAATGCACCGTTTTACAATTGAGTACCGGTACCGGTGCAATAGAATACAATTAGCAGGAAGAAATTTTGCAACAATAAGCATGCAGAAGTATGCAAAGAACTCAAAACACAGTGATACCCTTAACATGGTATTTATTTCGGACCCACACGAATTTCACACCTCAAGAAGTGCGTTTAGGGTGACTCGTGTCGTGGGTCATAATTTTTACCCATTCGTGAAGTATATGCAGTGAAACTGGCATAGTTTCTACCTAGCAAACGAAACAGTGCCTGGGTACAGTTTCTTAACTGGGCTATGCTAATATCGATTGAAACTATCAATTCGATTAGTAAACCTTCATGCGATTTTTTCACCATCAGCAAGTTTGGTTGGTTAGGTTAGGTTATAATAGTTTAATTTTATAATAGAGATATTAAAAATATCGATTATTAATCAATATTTTCAATTCGATAGATTCAATCAATATTAGCATAGCCCAGTTAAGAAACTGTACCTCAACACGTGCAACGCTACAAACGTTGACCGTTAACTCCCACTACATCATCTCAGTCTGTATAAAACACATGTAACTTACTGTATTAATAGGCTATAAATAAGTTGTGTACCTACAATTAACAGCCTAACTTATATGTCTTATACTTATATGCCAGACCCCCGCCTTGATGAGGAAGACACTCAAGACATCACTTAGGCCTATCAGGTAAGATGACACAACCATTAGAGATGATTCTCTCAAATTACACTGATAACTTAATACCTAATACCTACCTAATACCTAATACCTCCTTCTTCGTCTTTTACCCACAATGTGGGATTGACAGCGTCACTTTAACACGATTACTAATACAAAAAACAATATTTACAACTATTTACATACTTCCGGCAGGCTACAGGCTTCTTAAATCATCCCCTAAATACTCTGAAATATCGTAATAGGCCCGGCTCTTGATGAAAGTGGTTAACACTGCCTCAAATTTTCTCAAGTCCAACAACTGGATATGTCGTGGCAGCTTATTGAACAGACTTATGGCTGACACACTATAACTAGCCTGGGTCCTAGATAGTCGCACCCTTGGTACATCAAGCTGATGGCGCTGCCTGGTGTTATACTGGTGGACGTCAACACGAGTGGTGAAGGTTGTTATATTAGCCCTAACGTGCACCAGACAGAGAAGTATGTAGTGGCCAACTACAGTAAGCACACCAAGTCGTGCAAAGAGGGGTTTGCAATGAGCACGATACTCACTCCCAGTAATAATCCTTAATGCACGCTTCTGGAGCCTAAGCACTTCAACAACCTTTGGCGAGTGTCCCCAGAGAAGAAGACCATAGCTGACATGGCAGTGAAAGAGGGCATGGTACACCATCACCAAATATGCCTCCGTTACACAAAATTTCAGCTTGAAGAGGAGGAAACAGATCCGTGAGAGTCTGTTGGTGGTCTGGTCAATGTGATGTATCCAGCTGAACTTCCCATCAAGAACAAATCCAAGCAATTTAACTGGATCTTGAACACCAGGCTGATCTCTGGAGAGGCTGCAGATGATGTGCTGCGTCTTATCCTCGTTTAGTTGGAAGCGGTTTGCCAGAAACCAGGCAGTTGTATCTTCAAGACGCTGTCTGGAGATGGCCAAAGCTTGATCGATGTTCGTACCAGCTGACAGGAGAGAAGTGTCGTCTGCAAACATGAGGGTAGTGCCAAGGTTGTCGAGATCGTTGATCATGATGAGAAAAAGGGTAGGCCCAAGCACTGAACCCTGGGGGACACCAAAATCAACTGGCAAAGTGCTGGAGACAGCTCCACCAACTGCAACGACCTGCGAGCGCCGTTCGAGGTAAGTACTCAGGATGGCAAGAGCGGCATCCCTGATCCCATAGAAGTGGAGTTTCCTTTTCAAGATGGAGTGGGAGACACAATCAAATGCTCTACTGATATCACAGAGAGTCAGAGAGAGAGCTTGGTGGTTTTCAAATGCATTTTCCACGCTTGCAGCAACTTTTGCAACAGCATCAACGGTTGACCTGCCCTTACGGAAGCCAAACTGCATATTCGAGAAGAGGTCAAGTCCCTCAAAAAATGCTTCAAGCTGGGGTTTTATGGTGGCTTCTACCACCTTTCCGAAGACAGGAGTTATGGAGATGGGCCGATAGCTATTAAGCCTCTGGTGGTCACCCTTCTTGTAAATAGGGACAGTTTTCGAGGTCTTCAGAAAGTCCGGGAAGACGCCACAACTAAGGCAGTCGTTGACAGCAGCAGCAAGTGGAATGGCGATGGCATCAATAGTTTTTTGAAGTATGTAGGTAGACATACCAAACACATCAGGGCTCCTAGATGGCTTGAAAGACAGAACCAGCTTTCTAAGGTTGTGAGGAGTTGTAGGTTGGAAAACTGTTAGAGTATCAGGTGGAGGATTCACTCTAGATTCCAGAAGCTGGATGGGGTCCACATCTACATCAGGTAAGGCCTCAGTGATAGCTCTTACAGAATCAATGAAATATCCATTGAAGGTATCAGGGCTTGCAAATTCAACAGGTCGTCTAGTGCAAGACCTGTGCGAGTTGATGACATCCCATGCAGCCTTACAGCGATTTGGGGCGTGTTCGATTTGTGACTCAGTAGCCTTCTTCTTCGCCATCTCAATTTGTCCCTTATAATAAGCCTTGGCCTGTCTATACCTTAAAAGGTACCTGTCATTTTCACCGCCAGCAGACCTATCTTTAAGAGCTAGCATCACAGCTTTAATCCTAGCCAACTCATCTGTATACCATTCCTTGTGGCTAACTAAACGTTTAACCTTTTTGGTCTTCTGGGGTCGGTAAGGTCTGATTTTTTCAGGGAAAAACATATCAAAAATCTCCTGAAATTTTTTAAAGAAAACATACCGTACAACTTATTGCTAACTCCAGCATCATTTAAGATTTCCTCCCAAGGGGTGCTGGCAAGTGCCTCCCTGAAACGCACAAGATCAGCATCATCAACTAGCCTAGAACTAAAAGTATAATTCACACGCCAGGATAAAGAAGTATTGCTTACCAGGCTGCAGTTTGCCACATTGAGAGAGGTTACCAAGGCTGCGTGATCATCCCCATGCAGCTCCACCACCCTTGTGTCACAGTCGGAGGGTTGGAAGTTAACAGCAACGTTGTCGAGGCAGGATCTTCCTCTGGTTGGCTCAAAGCAGGTAATGTACAGGCCATATGATTTCAATAGCTCCACAACAGTCCTCGCTCTATGGTCATCTCCAACGAAGTTTACATTGAAATCTCCAGCTATAGCAATTTTAACAGATGATTTTCTGTTCAGAAAGACAAGGCACTGTTCAAAAAGTTCACAAAAACTTTCAAAACTTCCACTAGGGGAACGATAAACAGATACACAGATGGTGTTTTGAGCAGGTAAAAGAACAGCAACAAGTTCGCAATCAAGTTCTTTACAGAAACTATTTACATTCAAGACATTAAAATCGATGTCGCTACGGATGTAAATTGCAGACCCACCGCACCGAATTTCAGACCTACAGAAAAAACTGGCAGCATTGAGGTCAGATATTTTGCTATAAAAGTCAGTTTCATTTTGCGTTAAAAAATGTTCACACAAACACAAGATGTCTAGCTTCTCATTTTCAGCAAATAGAGTCAAAAGGGCTTGCTTAGGCCTAACACTCTGGACATTCCAGTGACCCAGAAGTAAGGTGTCATTAGGCCTAGTGTTGAATATGTCTTTAGTTATGTTTGCCAGTTGTTCAGGCTTGCTCTCCCTAAAAAAACTCTAGATTGAACATTATGCCTACTTCGAATGTGAAATTTTCGCACAAGTGCACCAGCAGGCCAAAATTCAGCGCTCAGCAACTTAGATTCAGAAACTGAGGTTACCCCTATCTTGAACGATTTGTAACTATCGGATTTCGTTTTGAGTTCTATACAATCACTGACTGTTACCTGCCTGTCAGAAAGATACTTAGAAACTGAGTCGCAAGATTCATTTACTGAAATTCTAGTCAAAAATATATAATTTCTTTCGGTTGGAGAACTATTTACAGGTTTAGCAGTTTTGAGGCCTACCTCGTTTCCAGTGCAGACGATGATGTTTTTGGAGGTTCTAGATTTGGGAGTCTGTGAAGGTCCCGTGGTATCACTTGTAGTTTGTAGATTTTTCGGTAGGGCTTTAAGTTTATCCGCAAAACTAACACTCAGATCTCTATTTACAAATTTAGAGCTGACATCTACAGAAGAAGTGGGGTGAGAAACTTTAGAGCGGCCATGTTGTTGTTGAGTTCCGCCAGAAATTTCACTGAGTTCAGTCAGTAGTTCATTCCCAATCCCAACATCAGGCGTTAAGCACAGACCATTAGGAGGAGTCACACTAGTCACAGTCCCATTAGTGACAGAGGCTATACCCAGTCTTTGGTACGATGTCATAGCTTATAATGTCATAGCTTATAATTGCGAATTTGTTGCATAGCTTATAATCTTGAAAATGTGGCATAGCTTATAATGGAAAATTTAAATTGTTCCATAGCTTATAATCGTAGAAATGTGGCATAGCTTATAACGGTTTTCTTAAAATGTGGCATAACTTATAATGGCATAGCTCAAATGTGCTGCAGCTTATAAAATCTCGTTTGTTCTATAGCTTATAATTTTAAAAACGTGGCATAGCTTATAACGCGCGGGAATTACGTCATAGCGGATGGGACAGCTGATCTATCCTGAGTAGACAAAAAAATTATCGTGCAATGGTCCTCAAATTATCGTATGGACTAGCAGCCGCTACTCGGCAATAAGAAGTCGCGTTAAGTGCAGCCAACGTAGCAAAACTAAAAGTATTTCAAGTTTTTTTTACTCCTGGACGACATATGTTATAGATGTATATATTAAATGGTTTTTTGTTGAATAATAGAATAATTTTTTGTATCTGCTGTTTTACTTTAATTATGTAAGCTGAAATATATTATCATAAGTTTAATATTGCTCGTGTTGCTTATTTATGCTATGCATGATAACTATTGTATAGGTAATATTTATTTTTTAATATTGTGTAATACCGGTGTAAAAATACTTTTTCATAGATAAAACCGTAGACTATGCAACATAAGTAGACTTCTCGTCCCATTGTTGATTTTGAAGCTTGTTTTTCGTTTCTATTTCATGTACGTCGACACTGATCGCTAGTGTAAACGAAATCTTGTTTCTATTATATTAGGGTAATTTTATGATTTTTGTGCTTTACTGTTTGGTTATATAACTAGGAGACCAGATATTTTTATGATAAGATAGTTTTATTTGGTTAAATTAGGTTTTAAATAACTGAAATAACAATTAAGAAACATATTGTAAAAGAAATACAACCTCTACAGTTGGCATAGAATAGCAATAAAATTGGCTTCAGCTTTTCAACAAGAATAACAAATCTTCTAAGGGACTTGATGTTTGATCTACGATCAAAACATATTTAGTAGATTTGTCATACTTATGGAACAGCTTAAGCCCAAATTTTAGTTTTATTTCTGTACGGTGCAATGTAGATTATAGAGGTCATGTTTTGTTTACAATTTGTTTCACTGTTTACGCCTTCATTTAGCCAAATAAAACGATCTTGTCATGTAGTGGTCAGTGTCACAGGACAAGCACTACAAAATAGTGCAACCCCCATTCCTGTAAACATTAGAAGTTAATGCAACTTTTCTGTTAAAAAGTAACCCAAGCATGATTTTTTATTGCAAGAAAAATTAAAATATTCTTCCCAAAGATCGGAAACATACGTTTGACAATAGTTTTGTCCATTGATGTAATTTCTAATATCAAAAATGGTATATCCAAGTATTTATAAACAGTACTAAAATTCTAAAATCCATACTGAACTCTACGTCATTAGCAAAACTTGACACAAGAAGGCACTTAGTTACCAAAATAGTCATAATGTAATGTAATAAGGAATAAGTAATAATTTCATTTAAGATTTTATTTGTATTGATCAAGTGATTCAGTACTAAGTAAAAGTGTAAAGAAAAAAACAGATTTCTAACAACATATTTAATATAAAAATATTCAAATATATTTTTACTCGTAAATACTCTCAAATACCTCTCGACTGACTGGTTCTTTACAAATTGGTTGCCCCTGGGTTGGAAGAACTAAGTGAACAAAAATATTACAACAGAGCGTTGGCAGTGGAAGCTTGATGTTAAATAAAAATTTAGTGGGCCCTGTGGAATAAAATTACCCCCAGAAGTCCTTAGGGGACGTTCTTGGTAGTCTTTAGTTCTTCCAAGGCTGAAAACAATCTTAAGACTACACTGACTCTACCTTGCACACTACCACACTAAACTTAGTGTTGCACCCAAGGTGTATCTTTTGTAGTGGATTCTTATTGGTTATAATTACGACTCTTTGAAAGAACTATATTTATGCTAGGATTGAAATACGAAAGGTTAATGATAATCAGTAAATAAATCACAATTCCATATATTTAAAAATAACTTCAGTGGAGAATATAATTATATTATAACGATGACACAAGGTGATGTGTTATGAAATGTATGGCCTTTTTACCCTAATATATTTGCCATTAATGTTATCACTACTATACAGGGTGTTTTTTTTTTAACTTGCATCTTTATTAATGTAAAAACCGCAATAGATAGAAATATGCAGTTGGCGGGAATCATCTATTGACGTAGGGGGCTCAATTATTTTGAATTCAACGTTACATTCACATTCCCCCCCCTTTCCCCCCAACTTAATTTTTTTAAATAGCAACGTACCCCTTGTGACATATCAAATAAAAGAGCATGAAAAAAGAAAATGTTTGACGAAAAAAATTGAAAATCGGTTAAAAATTTGTGAGATATTCCCCCCCTCCCCTCCCCCGGAACTTAATTTTTTTTTAAAGCAAGGTACCCTTTGTGACATATCAAATGAAAAAGCATGAAAAAAGAAAATTTTTTGTGAAACAAAATTAAAATCGGCTCATGAATTTGTGAGATAATCCCCCCCCTTTTCCCCTACCCATAACTTGTTTTTAATAGCAAGGTCCCTTGTGACATATCAAATGAAAAATAAATTTCACCAAACATTTTCTTTTTTCATGCTCTTTCATTTGATATGTCACAAGGGGTACCTTGCTATTAAAAAAAATTAAGTTCCGGGGAAGAGGGGGGGAAAATATCTCGCAAATTTATGAACCGATTTTAAATTTTTTTTCATCAAACATTTTCTTTTTTTATGCTCTTTCATTTGATATGTCACAATGGGTACCTTGCTATTTAAAAAAATTAAGTTGGGGGCAGGGGGGAAAGGGGGGGAATGTGAATGTAACGTTGAATTCAAAATAATTGGGCCCCCTACGTCAATAGATGATTCCCGCAAACTGCATATTTCTATCTATTACGGTTTTTACATAAATAAAGATGCAAGTTTAAAAAAAAACACCCTGTATAACGAACCTCATCTCGGTAGAGGAATGAAGTGATTGGCGCGGTTACAATATAGCCGCGACAGTGACATTAAGGTTTGAAATTTTAATGTTTGAGACGATCCAACACTCACAAAATCCAAAGACAAATGCTAGTTTTTTTTTGGCTAGTGAAATCACATTTAAAAATTCCCTGACGATTCCATGATTTTTTTAAACTTTCCCTGATCGAAAAATTCAAAATTACAATTTTAATTCTAACTAAATCTTCAAAAGGACTAATCTTTATCTGAAGAATATCTTATGTTTGTTGACATGCAAAAAATACATAAAATCTATAGATACAGGCTTGTAGCTTATATTCAAACTTTGCAGCTTGCTTTAATAAAATTAAACAGAGTTTGATAAGATGATACACAGTTTACAACAAAATTTAATTTGTACAAAAACACAAAATTTACTTGTACAAACATATTTTTTAGTTTACCGCGACACGGCATACGTACTCTCACCAGATCGACCTTTACAAACAATTATTTTAAACATTTTACAATTTTCCCTGACTTATGACAAAATTTCCTGACTTTTCCAGATATTTAATATTTCCTGACATTTCCAGGTCACTATAGCTACCCTGAAAGACTATAAAATTGAAGTGTAGATCTCGTTGTCCAATTTGTTACACAGTATAACTGTACGTAACTCAAGGCAATGGTATGAAAGATTATTTATTATTTATAGCTAAAGAGTGTTATGGCGGATACGTCTATATTGGAATACACTCCCACTAACTACAATCGCAAGCCAGAATCGAACCTGCAGCCCTTCCAAGTGTATTAAATTTTCCAAGTAATTGGCAAAAATAAAAAAAAACTATTGGCAATTATACTCTTGTAACTTTTTGTTTGGAATAATACTGTGTTATGGGAACAATGTGTTTGCAATGACGATTATAATACAAACATTTTAATCAAATTACGTTAATTTTATCACAAATAATTGAACATTTATTTATTTTTTAGAATAATGATAATATCACTGACTATGTATCAATACCAATTAATTAGATCAAAATGGATACAAAATGTACTTATCAGTATCTGAATCTGAAAACATGTGCTCAAAGAACAGGAGGCCAAAACATAACATAAAATGTAACGGCTTGTACGACCCACTAAGAGTAATTATAACACTAATACAATAAATAATATATAGTTACTTACAACTGGACGTCAGACATAAAACACTTAAGGAATCAAAGAGAATAGGATGAGTTTTTTTCCAAAATGCGGACAAATTGAATTTTGGTTGAACTAAGACGTGAAATTTCGGGAGCGGTATGTATAAGTTGGTGAGGATGAAATGAGTTTTTCCTAACTTAATTTAATTCCAAACAAATTATATCCCTGGCAATTATATCCATGCGGCTGTGGCTTTAGGGTTTGTTGAAAATTAAATTTTTGCCAACTAACACTGCAAACTACGGATTGATTTGCATGACTCAACTTAACAACTCACCCCACGCATAGGAAGGTTGGAGACACACTGGTCACTGAGACAGACCCTTGGCTAGAAGCTTTCCCCACCATTCGGTACAAAAGAAAGAAATTTAAATTTTGCTTGTCGCTTGTTTTGGGCGACACACCAAGCCTTAGTTGCAAACCAAACTTGAGCATAAATGGGGCCTAAGGTAAATATCAGGGCTATCCCTAGGGTTGGCAGCGCCCGGAGCAAACGTGGTTGTGGCGTCCCCTCCCCTCCAGTAATAATAGTCGCATTCACATATTTTAATCAATTTTATGTATAGATAATGAGATAAAAGTTATAAATGAACATAATATTTGTATTAGCAAGCCTATTCTTTAAATATAATAATCTTAAAAATTTGGTTGTCCGGATGCAGATTAACTCCTAGGGAGGAATTTGGAAATCCATTATGTCTTACTGGGATAATTATGAAGTACTTTTATTTAAGGACTGGTCTTGGTTGTGTTACTTACTTTTTTTAAAGTAGAAAATCAATATGATTAGGCTCAATAATGGAGTGTATTTTAATGTTTCATCAAGAATAATAGGCGAACAGCATTAAACATTTTGGTTTATAAAATATTTTTTAGATAAGGGTAGGGACCTTAATAAAACACAACAATGAATCATAATAGGTAGTCTATAAATTGGAGAAAGTTTTACTGTTTAAAAAATACTTCTTACAACACAATTGAAATAAATAAAGATTATAAGGCGAAGTTAAGAGCTGAGCAACCCTTCTGCATTCTTCTGTCATGATATCCTGAAACAAATAAACAATAACTCAAAATTGTTATCAGAACTAAATAGAGAAAGGGGTGTCTTGTTAGCTTGGTGGTTAATTTGTCCTGGACTTTGCTGCAAGAGAAATTGAGATTGACTTAAAGGATCCTTGCACAAGGTGAGAGGATTCAACATAATTTTTCCATGGATATTGCACACACTTGCCCAGCACAGCACAAACCTGCTAACAGCAGGCTACTACTAAAATTAAAGTAAAGTAAAGTACTGTAGAACCAAATCAGATTACGCTCTTGTGTCCACCATAGCATTATAGAACATCATAGAGCACTAAACGGTTTTCATAGTCTTTTATCAATTAAGTATTAAATGTATCCATTCAAATACATACAAATTATAACCCAGTGAATGATTGAAATACATGTCATGATGAAACCATACAGCGGTAGCCCAAGTACGGCTTCATAAAATCATATGCTAGTTGGTCTGACCATACTGGGCAGGAGTAGAGTGGCCAGCTGTGCTGCGGTTAGCGTATATTCCGGCGCCGACCACCAGGGGTAATGTGTAGTTACGGCGCACGCCGCTGCAGCATCAAGTGCTAGCGACCGTTTCCATAACAACTTGGTAGTTGGGAGTAGTGTTGCCAACTTTGGAGGAATCCCCCGGAATTGGAGTTTACTGACTTATTTAGGCTAATATTAAGCAGTAAATTAATTTAAATGCCATCTTTTATTGTATTTTTTTTAAACATATATTTGTTATACTTTTGTAGTTTCATTACAATGATTCAAAGTTTTTCTTTATTAATCCATAATTTTAGGAAGTGGTTTATTGGAAGGTTTTGTTTTATATTTGCAAGGTCAAAATAAAATTTAACCAGGATGTCTAGTAGTCAGGGAAAACGTCAGGTATTAGTATTGAATTTCAAAATGGTCTTGAAAAGTTTGGATTTAGTCTTTATTTTGATATCAAAGTCGGTAAATTGCATGATTTTACTTCAATCGTGCTAGACAACGATCACGTTTCCGTGACGGCGCAAGACGATGGATGATGTGTCTACACGACCGCGGGAGATGTTCTTACACCGCGACTGTGCTAGACGACGTTTTCGTGACCACGGACCACGGGAAAAATGATCACGTCTTTTCTGCGATCGCGCAAGACGATTGTATGTACGGCCGCTGAAGATGTTCACAATTTTGCCGCAATTGTGGATGACGATGACGTTTCGTGACCACGGCATTCAATGATGATGTCTACACAGCCGCGGAAGATGTTCATGATTTTGACGCGATTGCAGAAGACGACAATAGCGAATAATAATCATTTCGTTTGCAAGAGTGGTAGTGCTGGTAACAGCTGGCGAGTTGTCGACAACGACGACGATACCGATAACTGATATCGAACGGCAAAAACGCTCTAGCGCAGATTGCAAAACCTTTCTTTGACAGTCTATATTTACTCTATTGTCTATGACTATAGTATTACACATCTACCATAGCCATAATGTTCTACCACTTCACCCTAAGAAAAGAAAATACCCCCGCCGCAGCAAACCTGCAGACTAAGCAAATTTCCATTTGACTGATTAGATTTACACTGAAATGTCTACTTAAAAATATAACATTTATTCCCTATTTAAATAGAATTAGTTTAACAAGTACTTAGGTTTGCTGTATCAGGGAGGGTAAAACTGTTTTTTTTTGTAAAATGTTAATAGTTAGTAAGAAATAAAAACATTTTCCAAATTTGATCAAAATATGTTCATAAACAAGCAAACTACAACAGTTTACTTATTCTCCATAAGAATAACATTGGAATTTAAAATTTACAATTTTTTTGAATTTTCTCAGTAACCATTAGGCGTATAATAACGCTTGAATATACAAAATTATTAGTTTTTTTAAGCTCTACAAAATGATTTGGAAAGAAATTGCTAAATTTTATGTTTTTTGGATCAAAAATGGGAAAAACCTATTTTTACCCCATAAAACCCCCCGTAAACCCCCGTTCCCATGGTCCGATCATGCTGGATCGCGAACTCGTTCGAATAAACGTAGGTTTACACGTTTGTACCAAATTTCATCAAAATCGGATCATTTTTGCTCGAGTTATCGTGCTAACGGACACATATATATATATATATAAATATATAAATATATATGAATTTAAACGGATGGTGTTTTTGGCCTCTAGGGACCTCAAAACGAAAAAAAAATCGGTCCCGCGTCCAGGTCTTACCATGAGTACTACGGTAATAGCTTATTCCCTATATGGGAAATTCGCTAAAAATTAATTATTAAAGATTCACAAAATATCACAAATTATTCGTGAAATTAAAAACAAACATAACTGTAAACAGACAGTTCTCATTGTGTATCACAGTTTTTTGTTGCTGCTTAGTTCAAATTAGCTGTTTTCATAAATGAAAAAAAAATAATAGTGCTGCATCCTGTTGGTAAATCTTATAAACTCTTAATGCCTTTGCATATCATAGAACCAACCTTTTTAGTTGAAACAGCTGACTAAATTCTTTAATTTCATTTAAATATGAGTACTCATAAGGTTAACATGGGAAACTCTAGAGCCACTAAGGCGGAGCCCAAAAGGATTTTTTAGATAAAAATATGCCTATACCTATGTTAATCGTGAATGTGAGCTATCATCATGCCAAATTTGAGCCCAATCCATCCAGTAATTAACACGTGATTGAACTTCAAACACACAAACGAACAAACAAACACACAAACTTTCACATTTATAACATTAGTAAGATAGTAGCCTTTCTCATTTCACATGATCTGACAAGCACGGTGTCTCATCAAACTAGTATGATCGTTTTTGTTCAAGGTCCTACATATGAGCAATCGATGTATCTAAGGTTTAATGGGTGTTGGGGAAAAATAACTAATTTAATTCTGTGCTGGTATTAACATTTTTTTACCACAAAAAGATGTGAAACTACTTTATTGTTACCAGTTGTGTGGGGGCAATAAACTATAAACAAATAACTTGATCTTTCCACATATTTAGACTGGTGTAGTTGTACAGCGTAAGTCTCCGGTTCCGAAGATAACGGATTCACATCCTGGAAATCACCATGACAATTTGATAGATGGCCACCCTGTGCGTTGCTTCTCATGAACGTTGGTGCGGCCATCTTTAAATGCCCTTACCCACCTACGTAGGTACAATTCCGCCACTCATAATTTTCTCCCCATACACTTCACTAATCTGTCAATGAATTTAAATGGCTTTCACACCTTTAGCACTTAAAAATCTAATTAGGTACCGGTACAGCGCAAACTTCACAGGCGACGGCAGTCTCAATTGGCGGCACCGTTTTGAATGCTCTAAACCGGATGTAAACACAGCCGATTTGTGCCGAATTTCCAGCGCAGGCTTGCCAATACATCCACATACACAGCACAAATGTCCAAAATGCCAATCGCAGCACTGAAACGGAGAAATTTAAAAACAGTACTTACTTAAATAACATGCCTTGTATTATTCTGTCACCATAGGTAACTCTGAAACTTGAACAGTGCTGTAAGTTGATTAAAGTGTATTTTTTTCCAAATATAAAAACTTAACCGCCACAGCACATCATAAGTTAACACGATGACTGCTGAAAACAACGTACAGGCGCTCCCAGTGGCGGGCGAAGCCCCGGCACGCAACCGAATCAGCGAACGCAATTGGCATTCAAATATTTCAGTCTGACGAATCACAAAAGAGCAGTGGTGACTGTGCTGCGTTACCCCGAGAGTGGATGTAGTTCACTGAAACACCCAAAGGTAGCAGCACTGCACGGATCCGTATCCAGTGTCTTTGTAATGTGGGTTGAAGAGAAAAAATCCCCGAAACCGGGACAAAAGCATTGCCAGACAGGATTTTACGGGAAATTTTAGTACCAACCTACACCAAAGTAAAGCTCGCATTCTAAGCTGGCAGGCTGGCAACGATTATAACGTCTCCGTCTGAGGCTAAGCTCACACTGACTCAATATATTTCTGTTGGTCTGGTGCCGACCTTCGTCGGCGCGCGCCACATTGAAGTGCTAGCGACGCCGACTAGAGTCGGCGTTAGCAGTCAACGTGTTAATGTTAAACAAGGACTGAAAATGCTTTTTAATCATATTGATAACTTAGCCAAACTTACTTATCTTTATTGCTTTCGATTCTTTTCCAAGAAAATTTCTCTCCTTCTTATTTGGCCCCAAATAAGCAGACAACTTCATCAATATTGTTTACATATGAAGTACTCTCATACATTAACACCAAACATTTGCAATTCTCCAAGCTTTACAAGAAAATTTACCTGGAACAAAAATAGGCAGTGTACATCATTCAGGCCTACTTCTTGTTAAAAGTAAAAACAGAATATAGAACTATAGCTCAAGGTAGGGCATATTTTCTTTGTACAAATATTTGGATTGGTAGATAAAAACTTAAAAACTCGAAGGCCACTGGTTCTCTCGGACCCAAGTGTCATTACCCAGGTGGAACTAATAAAGTGTGTTTTTTATTAAAACATTAATAGCTTAGTATAAAATAAAGCTTTCAAGTTTGATTTATAAAAATAAATATAGCCTATATATATATATACTTTAAAATATAAATCAAGCTTTTTGTTGGTCGCAAAACATAAACAAATAAAAAGTAGAAGAAGGTAGCTTCTTTATGTTATTCTTATGGGACAAATTTAAAAATGTATTTTGAGGGTTTTATAATTACTACTGAACGGAATTGTCTAAATTTTATGGTGTCTTTCCATTGTTGTCATAATTAAGATTCGTGCAATTTTTTAACACTATAGGTGCAACGGTTAGCTTGAGTTTTTTATGCGAACACTTACACACACACACAGTTAAGCGGACAACTAATCCACGACTCCACTATACACAACACGATACATAGATAACATATTATTTTTTTTTTAATTTCTTTAGAAAGGTCTAGAGAATAATTGATAAATTTTGTGTTTTAAGGGTAAAAAATGAGAAAACCCCATTTTTTGGCCTAGGCCCCTTCTCTGCATAGAACTCATTAAAACCCGGTCCCATGGCCCGATCATGCTAGTTCGCGAACTCATTCAGATTTATCCCGCCTTACACCTTCAAACCGAATTTTCATTTGATTTTAGGTTATGAAAGAAACATAATACAAGGATATTTGCCTTTGCCAATTACAATCAATTGTAAGTATGGTGGGCTAATATGAAAAAAGTTGACCCATAGGCCTACTTGCCTAATTTGTAATTTTATTCATGTACTCAGGTATGTGTCACAATTTCATTTTCTTAGGTAGCCTACATGTTTTTTTGCCATAAGTTAACTGCATGGTTTGCTGCCTTGTTTACTGTGTGAAATTAACCTAACTTAAGTTTTGTGACGTTGCCTATTGTAAGTTATTTTATAGACTACTAAATTTCCATTCATACTTGGCTTAAAATACCTAATATGTATCGTCGCCATTTCATTGAATAGTATTAACAGTATTGATGGTAGAATAAGTTAAAGGGTACAGTTTCTTAACTGGGCTACGCTAATTTTATTGAAACTATCGATTCGATTAGTAAACCTACATGCGATTTTTTCACCATCAGCAAGTTTGGTTGGTTAAGTTAGGTTATGATAATTTAATTTTATAATAAACTTAGATAGGTATATTTTAAAATATCTATTATTAATCAATATTTTTAATTCAATACTGTAGTTTAATAAAATATATTAACTTAAGTTAGCGTAGCCCAGTTAAGAAACTGTAGGAATACCCAAGTTAAATCTCTTGGCTCAGTATTATCACGCTTACCATTTCTAAGGTTACACAAATGATACAAACTTGATAGCCTACTTATATCGAATATAGGCCTACTCGAATACTTAATACTCATTCAAATGAGTGTAGGACGTAAACTTAAGGGCTGCACTTTACTTTATGTCCTACACTCATTCGAATGAAGATATCGATCGATATGTCGATTATTACTTAGATAAGTTATATCATTTGGTTAGTTAGGTAAGGTTAACCTAACCTAACTAACCAAACGATATATCGAATGAAACAATCTAATAATCAATATTTTCATTCGAATGAGTGTAGGACGTAAAATAAAGTGCAGCCGTTGAATACATTCACTGATATTTTTATTAAGTTAATTGTTTAGGCCTGTCACAGGAAATCTGTAACTTGAGTCACAGCTACCTTAAGCTTAAGTAGAGGCTAGGCAACTGTACCTACTAACTTAACCTAATAACACTCAAGCAAATAATAGCCTACTGCGTTTTTGTTACTTTGAATAACAAGGCCTAGGAACAGGATTGGATTAAAACACAACTTACTGGATTTCAACACCTCAATAGTTTTGGAATTTTTTGATGCTACAATTTATTAATAATTATTGTTCCTCTTCTTTATCTTCTGTCAACACCAGCCGGACTATTGATAAGATTCATTAATTTTCAATGCCGTTAGCCGTTATCCTTCACTTCATTTTCATATCTTTTAACTTCTCTCTATAAATATTTCTTGCATTTTCATTGTCATATAGCATGTAATTGTTGCCATTTCTCGTATAAAAATCGTTTAAAAACATTTAAATAAATAAATGTTTAGGTTATAAATTACGATATCGCAGTTGGGCAGTTGTCAGTACGGTCCAATTACAATAATTATCGTATCCTACCATAAAATATCGTATATATGGTAGACCTGACTGAAGCGAGCAGCTGATGCCATTCCCACAATGCAACATTCTCTTCAATTATAAGCTATGCCCCAAAATCAGGATTATAAGGTATGACTCAAAATCAGGATTATAAGCTATAGAACAGAATCGGAATTATAAGCTGCGCCACTATTTGACCATTATAAGTTGTGAAACTGAAAATGTGTCATACCTTATAACGTTTTAGAGAAATTGTGGCATAGCTTATAATTTTTCGTGAAAGTGTGGCATAGCTTATAACTGATTATAAGCTATGCCACATTTTCAACATTATAAGCTATGGAACAAATTCACGATTATAAGCTATGACATTATAAGCTATGACACCCCACGCAGTCTTTCAGGAAGAGTATCAGAGGCAGTCTGAGTTGAGGAACGGGCGGTATTTGCAGACATGTCAGTGGGGACAGTAGTATGAATGACATTTTCATCTTTTCCATCCGATTTGGATGTCTGTGTCACTGTCAATGCAGACGACAAATCACTACTTTCGTCAAGTACATGTGTTTCCTGTTTAGAGCAACTTGTGTCTAACCTCACTTTGTCAATATGAGAAGAATCATAAGATACATTTTGGTAGCCCAAAACATTGTCAATTTTCTTTGCTATTTGAGAGTTGCTCGAAACTAACTCTTTCATCAAACCCAGAATATCCTTGGTCATAATGTCAGCATTGAATCTACTTACGTGAACTTTCAGTGTATCATGGCAGTTATCACAAAACCACTTCACTTTATCACCTAAGGCCAAAATCATGTCGTATTCATTAGATGAGATCATTAAACACTTCGAGTGAAACCACACCTCACAAAAACCCTCACAACAGAGTCCTTTATCGTTTTTATTAACATTTTTGGAGCACACTCCACACTGCGCGCGTTTCCTAGTAGCCATTGTTGCCGGAAGTCTGCCAGGACTTCTGCTGTTTACCAGGACATAACTGCAATGAAATTGAAGAAAGAATAAAATCAACTATGAAAACAACAGAAGAAGAACTAAATACGATCAGAGCTTGGAAATCAACCATTCAAAAACATTTCAAATAAATTTCACAGCTAAAACCACTCAACCCCAAGAACCGCAGGAAGGAAACAAATATTGCAACAGTGAACCATACTAAATTTTTAGGACTCCAACTAGACAGCACACTAACTTTAAATAAGCACTCAGAATTATTGATAAACAAACTATCCTCTGCATTTTTTGTAATAAAACGAATAAAAACCATAGCAGGGGAAAAATCCAGCAGTAATAGCCTACCACTCACTCATGGCATTCCACATCAAATTCGGCTTAATAGCCTGGGGAAGTGCACCTCAAACATACATAGAACCAATCTTAATACTACAGAAGAAAGTTTTAAGAATATTAAATGATCTTCCATTCAACACACCCTGCCAACAGTACTTCAGAGAAGACAAAATATTAACAGTTATATCCATGTACATCTGTGACACCATTCTATACTCCATACAAGAAAACAACATGACAAGAGCGGAAATTCATCAACAAGGAAGAAAGAAGATATGGATCTCCCTTACAAAAGATTAAAGAAGGCACAGGACCAACCCCTGTATATTGGCACACAATTTTACAACCACCTTCCCCAAAATATCAAATCCCTAAAATCTAACAATACCAAATTCAAACAAACCCTTACAAATCATCTCACACAAAATCCATGCTACACTAAACAAGAATTCTACACTATTAACAAAAACACATAGGCTCACACATACACGAAACACCAGCGAAATAGCCTAGGCTGTCATCCAAATCAAGAACTCGGGTCAATCTTTGACCATCAATAAACTTCCTGGGGCTTTGCCCAAACAAGAAGACGTACCCCCTGTCTTAAGGAGAGTGGCAGTGAAGAAGAAGGTAAAGGCAAAGGTAAACTCTCCTATTAAGTTATCTGAATTGAGCATGTCTAGACCTCAGCCTCAACCTCAACTACCAAGACATCTGCAGAGAATCATACAAATAAGTTAACTCAAAATACAGTACCTAGGCTAGGTCTAATATCCCTATACACAAGAAGAGTAATCAGGCTATTACATTTAGTTTCTACCCAGTAAACCAAATGTAGATCTTTATTAACAGTCAGCACAACAAACACGTGCAACACTGCAAACGAACATCATGCTCCCACTACATCATCTCAGTTTGTATGAAAAATATGTTAAAGAAGGTGTCTACAATAGTAACTTATGCCAGAAAAGAATCACCTCAGAAAAGAAGACACTCATCTTAAGTTACTGATCAGATTACACAGCCATGAGAGAAGCAGTGAACTCGCATACTTATATCGGAATTGGAAATGTCTAGGCCGCAACTTCAAACTAAGGCCTACACAACTGCCTTTCAATTAAGCCACTGATTCACCTAATTAATAACCTTTGGATCATTTTCAAACCACATTGTTTTCTTGACAGAGGAGCTGTGTATTCCTTCTCCTTGCGGTGTCAACACTAAGTGTGATGTCATCAACAACACCCCGACTTGTTCCTGCCTGCCAGGCTACGTTGGCTCCCCTCTGAGTGGATGCCGCCACGAGTGTGAGAGTGACTACGACTGCCCTGCTTCCCAGAGTTGCCAGAACTTCAAGTGTCAGTCTGCGTGTGCCACCGGAGTCTGTGCGCCAAGTGCCAACTGTGTAGTACAGAACCACCGAGCTGTGTGTTCGTGCCCTCCTGTAAGTAATAAGCCTAGACTCTATTTTTCTGCAAGCTCACAAATCAGAAACAAAATGTTAAAAACTAAATGTACGTAATCCTAACTTATGAAATCTATGTTTTAGAAATACCGGTACTACCCCGAAAAATTCAAAGTTCATTATCCCTAGCCCATTTAGAAAGAAACAGTTTAAAACATAGTGGGATATAATTTTTAGTCTTTTGTTTACAGCGACGTCTATTGATTAGTAGTGTTTCATGAATTGGGTGGTTGGAATATGAGTGGAAGGTCTTTCTTCAGTAAGCTACTCTTTAGGCCTGGGCCACACTTGTAACTTTTAACCAGCGAGACTGTTTTTTCCGTTTTCACGTGCGACGCACGTGAAATAGTTTGACCGTGGCCACACTCGTCTTACAAGATAAGACGATAAGAGATTTCTGGTTTTTCGTGCAAACCAGTGAGACTGATAACTTAGAGCATGCCACACTGGCAATAAAAATCGTCCGTGTCCGTGTTCCGCCTCCCCCCCTCAACGTACTAAATCAGTCAGGTTAAAACTAGAAACGTCCGTGGAAAAAATTCAGCGAGATAAGATGAGTGTGTTCACTCCCATAAGCCGCAATGCCCCGCGACTAGTTTTACGTGCAACGCCCGTGGAATGTTAGTAGAGAATACACGTGCGATTTGCCACGTTATTTGGTATAACCAGCGAGACTGATGACAAACGCGTTCACGGACGTTTTTACTCTAGTGGCCTGCCCCATATACCTTAATGTATCTCCCAAACCCACGGGTAACGCCCGTGGAAAAAATTCAGCGAGATAAGATGAGTGTGGCCCCGGCCTTATTTGGATTTCCATACCAGAGCAAACAGTTTAATTTCTTAAAATATTGAATCAACAATGGTACGATAAATATCGTTTCGATTGATTAAATTAGAGTGGCAATCCGCTTGCGATTGGTGGACGCTTGCGCACAAGAACCCTTCCCTCAACACGCTTATGTACAATCATGTCAACAATTGATTGCCATTAGATTGAATTGACACCTGTAGCATCTTAGGGGTTATGTGACTCAAGTGTTATTGTGAGCTTTAACCCTCACCCTATACGCTATCTCAATTGACACGTTCCTTTTCACCATTAATATAAGCTACTGATATTTTTATCAAGGAGTCTACTTTATTGTCAACAACCCGTTCACTTTTCTCACAAAGTATTGTTACCGTAAATATCTTGTATGTTTACAGGGTCATGTTGGAGACCCATACGTCTCATGTCGGGCCGAATGCTTCACTCACTCCGACTGTCCTTCCCACAAACCATCCTGCCTTAACGCCAAGTGTGTGGACGTATGTGCGGGAGTTTGTGGAGTTAATGCCAACTGTCGCGTAAGAGACGGAACTACAGCTGTCTGCAGTTGTCCCAAAGACATGACGGGAAACCCTTTTGTCAGCTGTCGCCCATTCGAGAAGAGTAAGTTCTATATTTTTTAGGTATGTAGGGAAGTTAAATTAAGTATCACATTGAAATATTGGACTCAGTTGTGCTAAAACTGTGGGCTTAATTTTTGACAAAAGTCGTTTTATGAAAGCACCAATTTCACAAATAATGGAAAGAAATCTGTATTTTTAAAACCGAAATAGATAGAAATATTCTGTTTGTGGCAATAACTGTAAACAAAGGTTCCGCAATTTTTTACATCAAAATTACTTCTTTAACCCCCCTAACAGGGTAGGGGGTAGGGGGTGACTTATTTTTTAAAATAGCAAATATTGAGTGACCCCTAATTTTAAAGGGTTTGTCAAAAGAAACACAATGACGCAAATCCGAGGTGAGTATCTCACCCCTAGCCAAAATGGCGGGTATTCCAAAATGGGTGCTTTTTCACATAAATTAAATTTTGGAATACCCGCCATTTAGGCTAGGGGTGAAATATCTACCTCGGGTTTGCGTCATTGTCTTTCTGTTAACAAACCCTTCAAAATGATGGGTCACTCAATAGGGGTTGTTTTTTTTAAGTAAGTCACCCCCACCCCCACCCTGTTAAAGGGGTTGAAAAAATATTGTTGATGTAAAAAATTGCGGAACCTATGTCAACAATCAATCCCACAAACAGAATATTTCTATCCATTTCGGTTTTAAAAATACAGATTTGTTTCCATTATTTGTGAAATTGGTGCTTTTTTCACGTACAGTAAATCAAATTTTGAAATACCTGTCATTTTTGCTAGGGGTGAGATATCCACCTCGGGTTTGCTTTATTGTGTTTCTTTTGACAAATCCTTCAAAATGATGAGTCAGTCAATAGGGGTTGCTATTTGAAAAACATAAGTCACCCCCTACCCCCACCCTGTTATGGGGGTTAAAAAATATTTTTATGTAAAAAATTGCAAAACCTTTTATAACAGTTATTGCCACAAACAGAATATTTCTATCTATTTCGGTTTTAAATATACAGATTTGTTTCAATACTTAATTTACACACTGTATAAACATTGTGTACTAAGTATTTTTTTACTGTTCAAAATTACACCAGTGTAAAATGAATAGGTTCAAACTATGACCAATCAGTCTCTGGAAGTTTTCGGACAACAACTGTGGTGAAATCTCCATTGTTGATGCTACGACACTGTTCTCAACTTCGTGATTTCAGTCAGTAAGCAGCAATTTTCTGTTCCCAAATACACTGAAATAGCAGAATAACAAGTTTGCTAGTGGGAAATCAAGTAGGCCTACTTATTTATGGTTGATAAAATCATCCTTTTGGGAGGATAATTTTTATTTTTCCTTTATACTGATACAGTAATATAATCCTGGCAATACCTCATAATAAAAAATTTATTGGATTTTACTTGTGTTTGTTTAAATGAATGAAGTTCTTAACTAGGCCTAAAATTCATATTTAGGCCTAATAAAAAGGGATTTGGTAAGGGGGATATGGTATAATACATTTTTCAATCCTTAATTTATAACTAATTTACTTATTTAAAAAAACCATTCTTCAGCATATTTTTTTAAAAAGAGCTTAGGCTACTAATCAATATTTTTATATTTATTTGTACAACTCAATTAAAATATAAGTTTACTAGGCCTATAGCCTATTGAATGAAGACTTTTAAATGACATTTGAGAACTGGAACTAAACAAGAATCTTATTACAAGTGTTATTTTGTCTATGGCAGTGTATTTTGAGGTTTGCATCTTGAATTCATTTGCATGGGAAAGTCGTTGTCTAGCACTGGAGCACTACGATGATTGTAAACACTATATAGGTAGATGATTCATTTAACACAGTAATACAAAGCTGGTAGAAATTATACGATCTATTTGTTTATAATGAATGTGTGAAAGTCATTATCAGAACTGACTGATGATGAAATATCCAGTTTTGATAAGTAAATCTGTTATTCTTGTTTATGTTATTCAATGATCCTTGTTCAACATAAATAGGACATATACCATATACCAGTCACTTTTCCTGATTTAAAATATTAATTTTATGAGTTATTCCTTATTCGTACCCTATAGGTACAGTGTATACTAAAAAAACCTGATAGTGAGTAGAACAGTGGTGAAGTTGTAAAGGGACATTGGAAACGGCTTTTCCTTTTCCGGTAGCTTTGTAAATAAGTGGTGATTTTATCCCTTCAATGTTATCCCCAAAGTCAAATGCAGAGCGTTTCTCATACTGGAGATTTTACAACTACAACACTGTTGCTTAAAACATAGTGGACACATGATTTGGCACCTGAAATCACTGTGATGTGTGACTGATTTAGGAAGTAACATAGAGCACAAGGGCCTAGGTTTTTATGATTTATAGTTTGGATAGCAGGCTTACATGTATGGGAAATAGTCCAACCAAACAGCACAAAGAATACATAACTTTACACTATGCAAAAAAGTTGTTATCTTAACTAAAACTTCCTGGAATTGGAACAAATCTATCTTCTGATATTTGGTGTGATTAGAAAGGGCTTATTGCCTTAGAATTAAGGAGACAAAGGACAGTATAAGCACGCTTACCTTAAAAATATACAGAAGAAACACTGAATATTTCGATACCGCTGGCTCCTTTCTCATCATTGAGAGTCACATTGGATTCTTAAAGTAAAAAACCAGTGAAAGACTTCCAGAATCCTGTGTGAAATGACCCTCAATGTTGAGAAAGGTGCCAGTGGCCTTTGAGGAAGATCTTAAACTTTTGTAGGATGTCCACGGCATATCTGATTTTAATTCTAAATACACCGCTCGCCATGCTTTATTTACTACAGCATAAGATGGTAGGCTTTCACCGTTTTAGCTAATTCCTCCCTACAGGAAAGAAGGGTTTACGGTACAGCAACAAGAAGGGTTTTTCATATGTGGTACAATAACATACGGATCTGGGACCAATTTTCTTTATGGCCCCATAGGGAAAACGTAATGATGTAGGTAGTTCAATTGTTGATATATGTATATTTATGCATATATTGTATGAGGTTTTGGCTAAAACAACAATTCATTAGCCTACCTTTTATATAAAAAAATTTAAGTAATCATTAAACCAATGTTTTATATAAAATTAATCAGGCATGAAATCTTTTGTACAAAAATAATCATGCAAATGAAAGATGGTTTGCCAAGTGGGGGGGGGGGGGGGGGGGGGTTGACTCACATCATTTGCTTTCAAACCAAACCAAAATATAATACTTGATAAAAACTAATCATGTGCTTACCAGCCCGTCCCGCACAAGTGTGAAAGCGTACATAAGAGCCAATGTTCTAAAAAACTAGCCATCTGGTTCGGTCCCGCATCGGAAGTTTAGGTTCGTCCTGGTGATTTTTCAACCCCGGCAGAGGTTTAGATCTGTCTGGGCGAACCTGCACTGGTGTGAAAGCTCCCATAGGCTATGATTCAATTAAACAGGGACCTTCCCGCACCGTGCTGGTGTGAAAGAGGGCTTAAATTTTTGCAATTTCCTAAACCATTTTGTAGAGCTTAAAAAAACAAATAATTTCGTAGGGTATATTGAAATGTTTTCATGCGCTTAATGGTTATGGAGCAAATTCTAAAAAACTATAAATTAAAAATATTAATGTTATTCTTATGGAGAATCAGTAAACTGTTGTAGTTTACTTGTTTATGGATATATTTTGATCAATCTTGATATATTTTTTTATACTAAGCTAGTAATACTTTACAAAAAACATTCTTTACTACCCTCCCTGTAGCAGCAACCCTAATGTTACTTTAAATAAATTTAAGTGAAAATCAAATCGGGCAAATGGAAATACCCTTAGTCTACAGGTTTGCTGTGCAGGAGTATTTTTTCTGTTGTGCATTGTTATATCAAATTCACGAGTCGGCTCATTACTTTCAGACAGATTTTTTCATGCCTTTTTTGTTTTATTTTTTGTTCTGCTTTACTTTAATGTAGGCCTACCTGCCATTCTGTAATTTGTACTTAATTATGGTTTGTCCTAAATTAAGTACATTTGTAAACTGGTGTACGCTATAAATACAGTAGACTTCCTCTTATCCGGACACCTTTGAACCGGACATCGGTTTAACTGGACAACACTCGGCGGAAATGACATATCTTTAACCGGACCATTTTTATCAGCACATTGGTTTAACCGGACTAGATCGGCAGGAAGTGGGCAGTACTGAAACGACTGTTCTCGTGGGAAAGATTTGAGACCAGTGATCACGTGTCTAAATACAATGCTCTCCTAAATTTAAGTTGAATGATATCACAGTAAACAGTCCGTTTTAACGAGTTTTTGGGGATGTCGGTTTAACCGGAAAACCCGTTAGCCGGACTGGCCTCGGTCCCGAGGAGTCCGGATAAGAGAGAGTCTACTGTAATTGAGCGAAGCTCTTTGGGATCAACTTCAATGCAGTCTTTATAACACTTAATCTCAATAAAGGCTGAACATATTTTACCCAAACTTACCAAGGTTGTTTTGTCAAATGTTTGGATGGTTTAGACGTAACCAATTTCAATTTTTGATAATGCCTATATAAATTTAAAATACCGTAAAACGGCGTGACTTGAGGCCTGTGGGGTGACTTGAAACCATAAGCTAAAAAAAGTTTTAAACTTTTTTAATTTTGTAACTACTAATAAATTACTTGTACACTTAAACTTTTTTTTAAGCCTAATACCTTAGCTTCAATATGGTATAATAATATCTTCAATTGAAACAAAATTGAATGTAAAAGAAAATGAAATTTAAAAGCAAAAAAGTTTCCCGAAAATTTTAACCCGAATAATATTATACTTTTTTCAGAACAATGACTCTGTGAAACCTGTGGCATTTTTTTTCTCTTTTTTCAACTTCTCAAATTACATTGTCAGCATAGTTTTATCTCTTATCTATTATAGGATTGTCATAAACCTCGTCTTATCAAAACTCAACATAATTTTCATGTCGGGGTGACTTGATACCACATTGGCTGTACATGAAAGATGCCCTTCTTACAATAATTTTAGTTTCTGGGGAGGACTAAAAAATAACTTCAATGTCAATGAGTGGCCCAAACCATTTTAAATGGCCTACCAATCCAGATGTATGCTGGTATAACAAATGTGATATGAAAGAACCATTACACCTCCATTACCCATTAACGCGAGGGGAATGTTCGCAGTCCCCAAGATGAAAAAAATTGAAGCTGAAGAACAAAACCAATGAATAAATGTGTTTAAGAAGCCCTGTAAATAGTGTATATAATGAACAATTTAATTAAGTTACTTTAAAGCTGACAACATCTTCTCTGTCCTTGAATTTTTGAGAAAGAAACATTTTTAAAATTTAAACCACTTTTTCAAGAAGTATAACTGCGACGACGTGTAAAATTGCAACATTTCACTAAGAAGAAAAAAATGTAAAATAAGTAATTACAATTTTGGTTATTATTTTGTTTGAACACACCACTCTTCTAGTTTATGTTAAGGTAAGTAATACTGTGTTTTGGTCCAATATTATTTTTTACAGATTTTTTTATAGTTTTACCAACAAACCCCGCGTTTTGGTTTATAATTTTATTAATAACTTCAGTCAGTAATAATTATGCTAAAAATATGTAAAAAATATCAAAAGATTCAGTAAAAAAGATGGACTCAAATAACCCCTTGAATAAGCCTAATATTGTATTACATTGAAATCACATGCAATCATATAGGCTGGTATCAAGGGACCCCACTTGCAGGGGTGACTTGAACCGGCAATATTTATTTTTCTTTCTTTTACTTGTAACCATGGTAAAAATATATTACTTTGTAAATAGTTAGTATAAGCTAAGACTGTAATAAGTAAATAAAAATATTAGTTCTAATGTGCTTAGTTACAAACATACAATGGTGTAAACTTCAAAAGTGGTATCAAGTCACCCCGTTTTACGGTAACTCAAAGTTTTCAAATTGTAACATTGGTCTTATGGGTTGCCATGATGGTTACAAAATAGCGGTGTAAGTAAATGTAAACAAAACAAAGAATCATAGCATAAAATCAAGCCACGACCTAAACACAGCACAAAGGAAACAAATTTGGATGATGACAACTGATCAAATACCACTAGAGAAAGTCTTAGATTTACATTTAAGTCGCAATTTGGAAACGACCACTGATTGAATAGGTACAGTCATAGATAAAACATACTTTCTTAGGTACATTAACAGATTTGATTTGTGTAGCTATATAAGGTTATAACAAATAACATTTTATCTTAAACAATTCGTCGGCGAATCACATTCATGGATCCATCTCATAAATGGCAAACTTAAACAGGTCCACGACGTAGGAAGTGAAGTGTTGAAGGAAGTAGTAAAGGCGAGATGTGCGGAGTGTGGGAAACGTTTGTGGCAGTTACATTAATGTATCTGCCATACTAAAATGTTATGGGAAGGGAGGGAAACGGGTCCAAGACGTAGGAAGTGGTGAAGGAAGTCGTAAAGGCTTGCAGTGCAGAGTGTGGGAACGCTTTAGGGCAGTTAGATTAATCTATCTAAAATATTAAAATGCTATGGGGAGAGAGGGAAACAGGTCCATGACGTAGGAAGTGGTGAATGAAGTAGTAAAGGCTAGCAGTGCGGAGTGTGGGAACGCTTTATGGCAGTTAGATTAACGTATCTAAAATATTAAAATGCTATGGGAAGGAAGGTAAAACAGGTCCACGACGTAGGAAGTGATGAAGGAAGTAGTAAAGGCTTGCAGTGCAGAGTGTGGGAACGCTTTAGGGCAGTTAGATTAATGTAGGTCTAAAATATTAAAATGCTATGGGAAGGGAGGGAAACAGGTCTACGACGTAGGAAATGGTGAAGGAAGTAGTAAAGGCTAGCAGTGCAGAGTGTGGGAACATTTTTATTTTGTATTGTATCCATACAATTTTTTCATTTATTGCTTTATTAAAAATCATGAAACATGATTGCTCCACTCAACTGACTTTCATTGCTATGAAAGCATTCCTAGTTAAATTGAATTGATATTTTTTTTAAGATAGCAACACAGTCTTAAGTTTGACAAATATTATTTAAATACAGTACTAGTTTACATCTTGTGGAAAAACCGAAAAATCTATTTGGGTAATAATTGTCAACACACATCAATTTTTTTTTAGTAAATAATTTAATTATATATTACGGCTGCTGAAAGTTTTGTTGTAGTTAAAAAATGTATTCAAAGTGATTTGGAATGTGCCATAAAAACGTATAGTGTAAAGCCTAGTTATGTGAGTTGCTTACATTACTTTTACTTACAATACAACCATTTAAAAAATTTGGTTTATTTTTTTATTAATTTACAATTTTGTTGCTACCTGTGGATGTTTTCTATAAAAAATTGATATGTCATATTGAGAACATCCATATAGATAATACTTTTTGTTTATTTCTAGAAACTGAAATGATTGATGTTACAACTTTTACCATCTAAAAACATGTATTTAACATATTTCTACTAACAATAATTTATTTTCCCCAGCTGATCTTTGTATCCCGAACCCTTGTGGAACGAACGCCAGGTGTGAGCCGGGCCACGATCGTTCTGGGAAGGAACGACCTGTCTGCACCTGCATCCCTGGGTACCTGGGAGATCCGTTGTCCTACTGTCGACGAGGCGAGTGTAGCACGGATAACGACTGCCGTAACGACCAGAACTGCATCAACTACAATTGCGTTTCGTCTTGTACAAACCAGTGCGGTGTTGCCGCTATGTGCAACGCTCGTAACCATGTAGCCGTGTGCTCTTGTCCGCCTGGCTACACAGGAGATGCTCTCACCCGTTGCTACAACATCCCAGCTCCTGTCGCCAGAGCTCTCTACAGCAAGAAATAACTTCTTCCACAGTTAAATCTCAGTCAAATTTACGATAAGGAAACTCATTCTTTAATTTAATCTTTTCAATACATTTCTGTCCCTGAATTTATGTTTACTTTCAATATTTTGTATATAAATTCCACAATTATATTTGAATTGTGTAAGGGGTCTTTATTGTCCTAAATATACAGTCTTTTAGCTTCATTTTGTTTATCATTTCTCAGTGTGTACAATAAAATTATTAATTTACAAAGGTCTACCCTTAGAAATTTCTTTTAAATGCCTATCTTAGGTTAGGTTACTTTTTTGAAAAGTTTATCACCCTGCATTCAAAAGTTTATGCTGAAAGAAGATAAAAATTATTGAAATAACAGAAAATTTAAAAACTAAAAAAATAGCATTGAAATTAATATGCTAATAACTTGCACTTAATACATTGTAAATATTTGTTATACAATTATTAACTTAAAATGAGGTTACTAACCTGTCGTCAATCAGTCCTATAAATTGTCGTTGATGACTAGTTTCGGGGCTAAAACTCCATTTTCAAATCTTCTCTTTCAGTCGTCATATGTCAAACATATCTTCTTGCACAAGCCGTCGTCAAAGTTATTTCACACATAAACATAACACATACGAAAACGTTTATAATACAATACAAAGACATGTACATTTGCGTGTGGCCGGCCAAGGACAAAACCAACGACAATATGTAGGACTGATTGACGACAGGTTAGTAACCTCATTTTAAGTCATTAAATCAATCCTGGAGGCAAATTATGTATAAACAATTATTAATTTTGATTTAGTAATAACAATATAAATATTAAGTTTTGAACCTTAGGGGATTGGCGTTCCATGAAAGCAATGATTGTGACTAGTAACAACCTTGTGAGTTACAGCACTAAAGAAAAATATACAGTATAACCTATTATTGATCAGTAAAATATGTTTGATATCATCACTAAAACACTAATAAAAATTCATTTGTCCACTTAATATGCATAATTATTCATTTTGAATCAAATTATTTCACTCATAAATAAACTCATAATAAATTAAAATTAATTTTGCAGGAAGTTGTATTTATTTAGCTGATAAAATTATTGTTAATTTGTTTAATGTTATTATTTAGTTACTAGTCTACTCTTACCTCCATTTACTTTCTAGTGTTAAGGCATAGTTTATAAGTATCATTGATTACCAACAAAATAAACTTCAAGATGTATGTTAAATTAAATGTAATAAACTGCAAGATGTATGTTTAATTAAATATAATTTTCCATTCAATACCTTTTTCAATAATTTTGCGTGTTTAAAGTCTAAAACTTCAAGATAAGCCTCGTTCACACGGTACGAGTTTACAAGCTACCTACTCGCCAGCATGTAAGAAGCCGGCGAGTTGGCGAGTGTGCTTGTATTCGTTCATACGGAGCTTGTCCACTTGCCAACCCGCAGACGTGTAGAAAGACGCCGGCGAGTCAGCGAGTGCGCTTGTAGTCGTTCACACGATGCTTTTTCCATTCGCTCAGTAGCTAGCTTGAACCAAATCTTCCGACATCTTTTAATAACATGCTCACAAGCACAAGCAACTGTGTTCACACTGGGCTACTTTACATGCCTACTCGCTCAAAAGCTGGTGAGTTGGCGTGTAAAGTAGCGGCAGCGTCAACTTTTTCCAGAGCTTTTTTACAAGCAGCTTTTGAACGCGTATGTCGTTCACACTGAGCTATTTTACTAGCTGCGTGTAAAAAAGCCGGCGTGTAGCTTGTAAACTCGTCCTGTGTGAACGGGGCTATAGCAAACATTAACAGGTTTTCTATTTTCTGATTAATATAATCATATATTCATTTCTATTCAAGCAAGAATAGTATTTCATAAAATATTAGAGACCTAAACCTGTCGTGGCAAGGTAGGATAACACAAAATAAAATAAACATTTTTTAAATGGGTTAGAAACAGCGGCGGCCAATTGGCCGCCACATATGGGGATTGACATTCTTTTTGGTCAAGTTAGAAAAATTAATTTAAAATAATAAATAGGAACCTCAAAGTTTGATTTTTTGTAAACAAAATTTATTATTTTTATGGCGTCTAGTAGGCGGGAAAAACGGGAAAGTCGGGATTTAGTCATTATTTTGGTATGAAAGTCGGGAATTTTAATGATTTTTCCGCGATCATTGCAGACGACGCCGATGACGTTTCCGTCGCCGTGGAGTCAATGATGATGTCTCGATGGCCGCGGGAAATGATCATTTGCCGCAAACACGAACGGCAACGATGACGTCCGAGGCAGTTAATGTTATGTCTACTTAGTCGTGGAAGATTTTCATCATTCAAAAAATCCAAATTGGCTAGTTAGAATTTTTATTACTACATTTTTTTCTTTACTTGAGAAACACCCCATTACATATTAATACTTTATGACATAAAGACAGGGTTTGGTGTAGAATTAAAATATTTGATTGAATTTTAAAAAAATTGGCATTAGTATCAAGAATTGAGAATTGCTACATTTTGGCATAAATACATCACCAATTGTTGAAAACTCCAGTCTTGACAAATTTAGCATTAGTCTTGAAAAGTCTGGAATTAGTCTTGAATTTTTAAATGGTTATAAACTAGAAACCCTAAATTTTAACTTTTTAAGTGGTGAAAAATAACGTCTTACCATTACCAAAAAGGTGTTGGAGTTCTCAATAGACAAAGTCAAGTTCTTGACTTCGTCTGTGAGAAGACCTGAGTTATATGCTACAAACCAGCAAATCATTTAGGATCCTAGGTACACAGTACACACACATTTAGGGTTTGGATCAGTCTGTTCCTTTCATTTACCTTATGTCAGCTATTTTCCATAATGTGTAAGGGTGAAAATGAAAATCTTACATGGAATTCGTAAATTAGGCCTACCGCACACGAGAGACTTTTTGTCGGCCGACTGTTGGCCATCTGTCTGGCTGGAGTCGGGGGGACAATCGAAAAGTCGTCAAGACTGTTTGGTCGTTGACTATGGGTGCGCACACGCCACGACTGTTTAGTCGTATTTCGAGTGTCAAAAGGATGTATATGACAGAAACCGCTGTCATATGTGCGTTACTGACAAGATTTCGTGCAAGAAAACTTAAGAGCAAATACTGGGTGCATCTAATTTATAGTCAGAGAACCTTGAAACCTTTATACTCGGATTTGAGGAAATATCCGGACACACACATCCACATTCCATAAAGACCATAAAATACACAGTTTTCCACTTTTCAAGTTTGCCGCCATTTTGGAAAATGGCCAGCATTTTGGAAATAATAGAATTAATAGTTTAAACGAATTTTATGGTCTTTTTGGAATGTGGATGCAATTTTTAGACTTATTTAACTTATTTACTTTTCACATTTTCGCTATAAACCTACTTGTTTAGGAGCTACATGATGTAAAAATGTACACCGGAAGTCATTTTTCCATAGGCTGTAACTCCTAAACCAGTGGGTTTATCGAAAAAATGTCAGGAATAAAAAAGTTTTTAAATTGCCAGTTCTATCCGAAAACATGATAAAATATAGGGTGTTCCATAAGAAATTTCAAAGTTGGCCGCCATTTTGGAAAATAGCGGCTGAATTTCAAAAAAATAAAATCATATTTTTAATTGCCACAAAAAATAAAGGAATGTCCCCCATTTAAAGTTTTCTCTAATTCTTACCGTTTTCGATATCCCAATGGTGGCCTCCTTGAGTTGATCACCTTGTATACAGATGGGTGCAAAATTAGGTATACAGTAATGAAACATTGTATAGAAAAATATATTAATTCATACAAAACCAATCTTTTCCAATTAATTTGAAGAGTATTAAGACACCTAAACCAACTCATAAAATAGTTTTACTTGACAAAAACACCTACTTCCTTGTGTGTTGAAACTGTTTGCCTGTTTGTACTGTATACCTGTATACCTACTTTTGCACCCCTCTGTATATATATATATATAAATTTGTCCTTTAGCACGATAACTCGCAAAAAGGATTTTGATGAAATTTGGTACAAACGAGTAAATCTACATCTATTCACAGATCACAGGGCACTTTTTATTGAAATTTAAGAAATACTGCACTTTGCAAAAAAATACAGTACAAAAAAAGATTATTTTCAAAACAAAATAAAGCACTTTTTTATCAACACATATCAGAAGTTAATTGGAATATATTGCCTCAACAAGATGCTCAAACTAATTTTAACAATTTTTTCAATCAGTTGTTAGTAAGGGCCCTTTCACACGAGGCCACTGGTGGCCGCCACCGGTGGCGGCGGTGGCAGCCACTGGTTGCCCGCCACAGCTTTAACATTATTTTAAATGAGACCTTTCACACGCAGCCACTGCAGTTGCCCGCCACTACACAGTGGCCGAGCAGTGTCTCCTCGCGCAACTGCTAGTTGGCAACCGCCGGCAACTGCAGTGGCGGCAACTCGTCGCGGGGCATTGAATTAAATGGGAGCTTTCACACGTAGCAACCAGTGGCCGCCACCGTGGATGAGCGCGCAGCTACTATTTTGAATCAGTCCAAATGCAGACTGCAAAGACAAACACACTATGGTAGTTGTTGAGTGTTTTCGTGTTGAATTGTTTGTTTGTGAAAATGAGTGATCAGAAGAAAAATAAAGAGGACGTTGCTGAAAAAGAAAAAGACAAAGGAAAACAACAGAATAAGAGAACAAACAAAATAGTAGAAAACAAAGTGGATACTGAAGATCTAATTTGCGAAATTGAAAAGTAACCGGCAATTCGGTATAGTACGCCTGTGTCTTTGCCTTATTTTTTTTATTATCAACGCGAGAAGAAGGAGATGTTCATTGTTCGACAGCATTTTCACAACTATCATTGTACAGTGGCTGAAGTGGAGTGGCTTGTAAGTTGCCTGTATCATCCACTGCAGTTTCCCGGCCGGTAACTGGTGGCGGACACCGGTGGCCGCCACCAGTGGCCTCGTGTGAAAGGGCCCTAAATTTTGATAAATGTTTCCCTCTTAAATTTTACACTAACAAACCACCCAAAAATAAATATAGGAAAAGCTGGGTGACTAAAGGTATTAAAATATCAAGTCAAAGAAAAAGAGAGCTAAGCACTATTGCCAAAACGATTCAAGATGTTAATTTTAAAAAGTATTACAAAAACTATAGAAAGATATTTAAAGCTGTTTGCGATAAGGCTAGGAAAATGTTTAATTGTAAAGTTATATCATCTTCAGATAATAAGAGCAAAGCGGTGTGGAATGTTGTGAAGTCTGAACTTGGAGTCCTGAATGCCAATCATTTGGATTTCCCTGATTTGTGTGTCGGAGACAAGCAATTAAAAGATGGACAAAATGTGGTAAATTTTCTCAATGATAAATTTTGCAACATTTACAAAAATATAAATTGTAATGTAAGCCTTGCTTACACACTGCAACTAATTTGATTAATAATACTAGTAGGCCTAATAATATAAGAATGAAATTTCAGTTCAGACATGTATCGATTTTAGAAATTAAAAAAACCGTTAGAAATTTAAAAAATAAAAAATCTTCTGGATGGGATGAAATTCCTATTGAATTAATTAAAAATGTCATAAACCATATTGCAGAGCCTCTGTGTCTAGTAATCAATCAATGTTTTGATGAAGGAATTTTTCCCTATCAATTAAAAAATGCTGAGCTGAAACCACTTTTCAAAAAAGGCTCAGTAATGGACCCTGATAACTATCGTCC